AGGACACAGTAGTGGAGGCACATAACGGAGTGATTAACAGGGGTGATCCCCCTTACGCTGGGTGACCCCCAAGCGTGGCAGACACCTCTCCAAAGTGACATTGTGGTACAGGGGTGACCCCCCTTACGCTGGGTGACCCCCAAGCGAATCTGGTTCCTGTCCTAGTGACATACATATACTGGGGTGATCCCCCTACTCTGGGTGAACCCCAAGCGAATATTATTCCGGTACTAGTGACATACATATACTGGGGGGAACCCCCACGCCCTAGGGCGGGCTCATTTCCACGGAGTACGATCTGTTACTGTATGCACAGACCGGGTCACACTGAATACATGTATATCGACAGAGCCAGGAAGGAGAGCTCATGGTGCTGCCAATTCTCCACAGTACTATATCCTATAAGGGTGACCCCTTGGATAATTTGGAGGCTACCATACCTCCCCATACACGGGCTACGTCCCGACATTACTGACCGCTCATCCCGGTCTTATTGAGGGTGACCCCCTCCTCAGACCACTCCCAGGAAATCTCTAAGTGGTACTGATTGAAACAATTCTGGGTGACCCCCAGTTGTACGTGGAGGCCCACTAAGTGGCAATAAGTGTACTACCGTACCTGACACCTGTTCGGTACCCCATAGACCGAAAGAGTGTCCCAACATGCCATTAGAGACATTCATACAGGGGTGACCCCCCTATGCTGGGTGAACCCCAAGCGAGTCTTACTCCGGTGCTAGTGGCATAGGTACAAAGGGGTGACCCCCCGCACCCTTTCTAGGGCTTCTACCTTCAGAGTACGCTCTGTCATTGTATGCACAGACCAGGGCGCACTAGATGCATGTATTCTGGCACCTCTATGCTTCAACTGGGGTTCCGTACGCCCTTCCCTTAACCGAGAAGGAGAACTCACAGTGCTGCCAAAACTCCACAATTCTAGACCATATAAGGATGAACCCGTGGACTATATATATTGAGGCTTTCACGTCTCCCAGACTCGGGCTACGTCCCGACATTGCAGACCGCTCATCCCGGTCTTACTGAGGGTGTCCTCATTCTCAGACCACTCCCCGGATCCTGCGAAAATGATACTGATTGATCAAAATTCTGGGTGACCCCCAGTTATACGCGGAGGCCTACTGAGTGGCAATAAGTGTACTGTTGTACGATCCTGTCTCCCACGGACCGAAAGGGTGTGAACCAACATGTCGGACTTACCTCAATATCCCCGACCGATTTTCAGGCGAGGATTAAGGCTGCCATGACAGCTCCGGGGGAAGAAGTCCTCTCCAGTATGCTGGCTAACAACCCATCCGACAGAGCGGGTGCAACGGCAGCAACACCAATGGAAGATTGAGATACCGACGTTAGGTCGGACACCCATCATCAGGGGACGAGGACTTCATCCTCCCCCCCCTTCTCTGGAGATCATGAAAGAATGGAGGGCAGAAGAGGTAAAAGTGACAAGACACGCCTAGCAAGAAAGGTTTTTTCTTTGGCACACTGGACACTCCTGTTTTGACTCACGCACCATCCGACAACCAGGGTCATCCGAATGGGGTTAACTGGAGCACCGGGCCCACTTCTGGCTTAGGAGGCCTATGGGAAAAGAAATCCGAGACCGGCTCAGGATGGAATGCCCACGCCCTCTATGTCCGAACAAGATAGTCCTCACTATGGAGCTCGTGGTGATATGTATGTCCCGATCAGTGTGTAGGAGGAGGACTCAAAATGAGTTAAATACTGGATATGATCAGCCCGGGAAAAAATTCTATACTTTGCGGACCTGACCCCACACAAGACTCACCTCTAGAAGCTCACGATGTGAGGGAATGGGTGCAAAGGGCAATATGTAAGTTGGGGAACGCAAGGCAGACAGGTGCACAGAACGCCGCAAAGCAGCCCGATTAAAGATGGATTTCAAACTATTGAAGTTAGGGACGAAAGAGCGAGGACCTCAGGCAGACGGACTATCGTTTGGAGAACCATTTATCTCAGCAACGGTTTGGTAGTAAGGAAGAAGATAGGAGACTATCACCCAGTCATCAACCTATGCCAACCCAATGGTTTTGGGGCGTACCGACAACTCAAGAAGGAAGGTATCCATCTCTTAGGGGATCTACAAGGTTGGACTTGAAGGGCACTTACCTATAGGTTCACATGGTGCCTCATGAAGTTTCTGAAGTCGGTCACTGCGCACTGAAAAGCAAAGGGTATCTGCTGTCACATACCTAGACGACTTACCTTTTGCAAATCCAATTCATGACTACGTTTACAAACGAGATTTATGTTTACAGTTTCGGGAATTGTTGGGATTCATAGTGAACAGAGAGGAGTTGGTTCTATCCCAGTTCCGAGTGATTCAGTTCCTCTATTTCAGAATAGATTCCACCTTGGGCGGATTACACCTTCCCACATCATTGATAGCGACGATTCGTAAGGAAATTCGACGGGTACGGCGGAAAGGCACCATAACCCTTTGACTATTTCCCAGGACTGCTTCACTACCAGGCCAGACAGTGGCTGAAAGCTCACTGCCTGAGATATGGACACACCTATGAAATTGGGATCAGAATAGCGAAGACTTCGATAGTACTCATTACTGCGGTAAAGGAGGCAAGCGTGACACCCAGAAGGGTTGTCCTTAATCAGGATCATCCTCTGCTCCTTCCGTTTTAACTTGCCTTCGGGCGGATCCAAAAGGAGAACATCATCCATTGAGAATGCAGGAGCATCTGGAGTTGGTAGATTGGTGTCTTCCAGGGGAGATTGGTATGTCAAGGGACTATCGCAACCAACTAGAGACCTACTATGGGACTCATGGACGCCAGGTATTCCCCCGAAATAACTTATCCGCATGGAACACCTTGAGTTAGCTGGTGTATGGGAAGGGACTGCGATCCCTTTATTACCCCTATCTCCACGATGCTGGATCTTTATCATACCTTTTCACTACAGGCCGATCGGAACGTTCCATTAACGGGCTACGTTCCGCGATTTCGACGACGCATAGCACGATTCACGACACTCCGGTCAATCAAGAGCCTTTGATATGCCATTTTCTGTGGGGTATCAAACCGTCCAGAACCATGCGTCAAAGTATCACTGGTGTGGGACTTTGATTTGGTTCTTTTGGAGCTAGTCAGATATCACGGTCCTATCCCTCAGTCAGCCATTAGCCAGAGTCACGTTACTTTTAGGTCTTTTCGTCGGGTATCAGATGTACTGGAGTTCGACGTAGACGGTCTTTTCGGTATCACCGGAAAGAATAATTTCTACAGTGTCTCGTAGAACTATATCTTATCCGTGTCCGTATCGTTCCCTGTTACCGACGGTTTCCCAGCCTTTGTGCAGTTAAAGGGGTACTTTGTTACATGGAGATCACGACAACACTTAGAATGTCACATTCAGGACATCTGCTGGTCTTATACCAACCGTACAAGCCAGTTACCATGAACACTCTGTCTAGATGGGTTCATTGGTTGTTATCGCTAGCGAGGGTGGAGACGTGTTTGGGTACTCATTCGGTAAGAGGCGCAGCTGCTTCTCAGGCCTTCACGAGGGGGCCTCTATATTTTCAGCGACGAATTGGACACGGATAGACTACTTCCGTATATTTATTTTCGTCAACCACACACGCATCCTTCACGCTCATACCACAGCTTTAAAAATGCAAAATATGAAGCCTCCTGTCATGTGATAAAATTGTAGATTATGCTAACGTAGTGTACCTATAATCTTAATTTTAATAATGACAGGAGGCGAGTATTTTCCCTCCCTGTTTCCCTCCCTATACTCTGGAAATTTTTTATATTTTGGTTTGTCATTTTCTCAGTGTAAATTATAAGGTTTGGTAATTCAGTATATTTATGGGATGCTTATTTGGTTGATATGTGTTAGATCCGTGTTGATTATTAAGTATACTATGGTTTGTTTAATGTTTCAGTATATTAACTTAATATAAATATAGACACATATAGTACTGGATTTAATGTGGACAACAGTTGGTTTCCATCACCTTTCACGTATTTCTGTTCTTTTCAGCGTAATCATCATAGATGGATTCGACAAGATAAAGCTGGAAGGTTTCAAGTTATGTTCTACACGTTACTCAGGACTGTTATTTGAATTCCCTGACGTTATAATAGACTGTTTTTCGCATCAAAGAAAGAGGAAGTCATGTGACTGTCAGGGCTTTATATATGAATGTGATGCCTGTTACTGATTGGTTTAAAGTTTATTGATTAACTTGTGCTGCTGGAGGCATAAAGTAAAGAAAGTTATGCAAAATACTCGCCTCCTGTCATTATTAAAATTAAGATTATAGGTACACTACGTTAGCATAATCTACAATTGTCAATGATACATTGCCACTATTTTCCAACCATCGTAAGTGTTTACCACTACAACTTACTTTCCATGCTCATACTTCTTGAATAGTTTGACAAAATAAGTCAATTTTGTTGTTCAGCCCTTTATGACCCATGTGTAAACCTGGCAATATGTTTTCATTATTAGTATTTTGTCTATGTTTTCTATGAACCATGTACATGGACTACTCTAAGAGACCAACATTTAACAGTCCAAATTGCATTTATAGTGTATTTTGCTGCATGAATCACTGCTTCTGTGACAAGTCTAGTATATCCATGTGTTCCTCGTGAAAAAAAAAAATATATATATTTTTTTAATTCATTTGGTTGTCAACTTTCAAGTTCCTTATTCTTGTGCTTCAAATGAAGAACTACTTAATTCAGCCACTTTTTATTTTGTTTTATTGTTGTCCAACTGTCACTATCTCAACAAATATATAATCCCTTTGATCAGTTAATTCAAGTCTGTGTCTGGTGTAGTCTGAGTGCATCGGATATCAACTATGTTGCTCCAAGAGCCAAACTACAAAAGCTCGGTATGACAAGGTGTGATGATCTATACCTTTGATGTTCATTTATAATATAAATTAGTATATTAATAACTGTATTCACCACCTGTAAGCGTTCTCATTAATCCACAAATTATTTATACCTGAATCACATTTAAGGCAGATACAAAACATTGCATGAAGGAATGTGATGCCTATAAAATACCTATAAAAGTAACCTTATTCTACTTAACTTGCTTCATATATAAGAAGGTTGAAGTCAAAGAGACACTTGCAGTTTACTTTCTTAAGAAGAAACATTTCCAATTCTTCATATAACTCAATCAGAGATCAACATGAAGCATCAAGGCAGCTACTCTTCTTCTGGATCCCTCAGGGTAGGCCACAGCTCTAGAGGCCATTGTTCCTCTGGTAGCATCTCTTCACTTCATCATGGAAGCTCCAATACACTTCACCATAAGAGCTTCAGCTGCTCTAATACTGGTGGTTCCTATAAATCATCCAGCCACCTTGGAGGAAACTCAAAACTATCTATCAGTTCATCTGCTGGTCTTGCACATGGAGGTGGAAGTGGCCATGGTGGCCTTACAAGTAATCTCAAGAGTTCTAACAACCACGCTCATAACCTACTTCGTATTAATGAGAAAGATACAATGAGGGCTCTGAATGAGCGTCTTGCCTCCTATTTAGACAAGGTCCATTCGCTGGAGCAGGAGAATGCTGAGCTGGAAAGGAAGATTTGTGAATGGTATGCAAACAATGCCCCAAGCTCACTCCCTGACTCCAGTGAGTACTATAGGACTATTCAGGAGCTCCAGAACCAGGTAAAACAAGACCTGTATGAGTTTATCTCCAATGTGGTCAGTTGTAGGATGATCTTACCTACAATGCATGTTTTAACGAGTTAAAGTAAACTTGTCAGTCAATAAAATATCCAGACCAAAGTGTTTTAAACCCTGAAAATACGACTGTAGACATGACTGTACAATAGAGATATAGAAATGTTAAATATTCTACAATATTTTATACACATTACATGAGAAAATATATTATATGCACTGCATACATTTCATTCTGACTTGAACTAAACCAATATATATGCCATTAAAGATTTATTCTAATGTGGTTATTTGTTGGGTGATCCTACTTACAATGTATGTTTTAATGACTTACCTTCTTAATAAACGTACCATACTGTAAAATAATTCTAGTCCTAAAAGTTTATGTAGAATTGACTGTATAATTGAGATACAGAGATGTTCAAAACTGTTTTATATAACTTATATAATAAAAATTGTTATATACACTATATGAATAGTATGATGTTGTTACATTCAAGAATGCAGCATTTCAAATTCTGAATACAGAGCCTTAAAATTCGCATGTGGTTCAGCTTTTCTCAGATAGAAAATATAATATCAGTGTGTATAATCAACGGAACATTTTCTCATAACTTTAGTTATAGTCAAATATAGTTCACGGAGACCAAAATGTTTAAGCAAAAGAAGTAATATAAATTATTTTTAGAGATTAATTGAGAATGACTTTGCTTACCAGATTTCTTCGGCGACAATTAACAGTGGAAGGATTGTCCTACAGATAGATAGCGCTCAACAAGCTTCAGATGACTTCAGAAGCAGGTAAGTCTATGAAGTTATGAGATTTAAAGAGACAAGTGAAGACTTTGCTTTATACAGCTGTAGCAGCATATATATTGTAAAGGTGACTTTGTGTGGCAAAATATAAATATAAACATATATTCATCAAGTATGGTGTTTAGTATTAAATGAATAATTAAAAAACACAATATTAAAAAAAATCTAAAAAGCTCTAATTTCTCACAAACAAACCTATTTTTATATTGTTACAGCAAAACATTCAGCATAGAATTGTACATAACTTTAGTTTAATGTAAATTCTCTCGAGTCAACGATGAGGTCTACCAGCACTTAAGTAACTGCTTTAGAAATGTTCTTACTAAGTTTTCAGTTGAGGAAAGTTAGTGCAGTAGCTGTACACTTTCTTATGTGTTCTATTAAGGTGTCTATTATGTTTGATTGTAAGCATTAGTTTTGTCTAGTATTGTTTTAACTGTTAGAAACCATAACTTCTTTGGTGGATTTTCTTTTGTTGTCTGTGTCTTTGTTTTTCTAAAATGTCCACTTTGTAAAATAGAGTTACGACCATAGGTTAGAATATAGTGTTGACCTTTATGGTAAACTATTGGCTAATTTAGGATTATCAAGGCATTATAATTTATCCATAACTATTTCTCTATATTGTTGCATGCCGTGTAATCACAGTACAATATATTGTAAATACCTTTACCCAATCCTTTGCTAACTGCACATGGCATTGCCGTAGTAATCATCAAGTTGCGTTTTTGGCATGTTATTCCATACCGGAAAAAATACTTTCAACCAGCGTTAAATTGAAAAGTGATAAAGAGTTGATGCCATGCCTATTCTCAAAACTGATTATATAATATAGTGTGCTCTTTTATTATTATTATCAATTTAGGTGTGAGATGGAGATAAACACAAGGAACAATGTGGATGGAGATACTGGTTCTTCGAGAAGAGTCTTACAACAAATTAACAACGAAGTGCAAACCTTATCCGGAGAAGTCCAAGGTCTCCAGCAAGAACTTTTCCAGATGAGGAACAACCATTCAGGGGTAAAGTGGAAAGATGTCAATGGCCTATTATTATAATTTATTAAAACACTACTGAGAACAAAGATGTATTTGGAATAATTACAGGACTTCAAATGTCAAGTCATAAGCTACTAGCCAGGCCTCAAAAGTTTTTTGCCACTGTAGCCTAGAGAATCCTTGGCACTTTTACCAGTGGTAACTTTGTACGATGCAGGGCTAAATTTTTACTACGAATGTCCAGTTAATTTTTTTCCATTAATTAATAAAAGTGAACAGTTTTGGGGATCTCTTTCTTACATACATTGTGTGTGTTTGTTTACACATTCAAACCTAAGGGTCATTTATTTCTTTATAAATTACTTTAAAATCTTTCTTTCACGTCTTACCCTAGTCCTTTGTCTTTTTCAAAGGAAGTGGATGGTCTGCGTGCTCAACTTGGAACCAGAGTCAACGTAGAAATGAATGCTGCGCCATCCATCGACCTGAACAGAGCTCTATCTGAGCTCAGAGAAGAATATGAAAATATGATGGAGAGGAACCTCAGGGAAGTCGAGGGCATGTTCTTGGCAAGGGTAATTTTAACCATAATATCATGGAGCAACTAGCTGACAGTAAACTATAACACTAAAACTATAGACCCATACCAGATTGGTAAGAACAGTATTATATTTTTACGTGAAATGTTTTTTTCTTGCAGAGTGCAGAACTGGACAGTGAGATGTCTTTAGGAGCCGTACAATTGCAGTCAGTTAATAATGATATCATTGATTCGAAGCGGTCTTTACAGACCCTGGAGATCGAGCTGCAGAGCCACCTAAGCATGGTATGTCAGCATGAATTAAAATATGTAAACATATATAAAGCAACACCATGACTATATTCCGCATTTGCAGTTTTAATTGGTTCTAATAATGCTTTATTGACTACAAAGTAACTTGTGTAAGTCTTTAGTTTAAGAAAGTTTACCATTGGCAATTTTTTATGTCACCAAGTTGTGCCAGTAATAGTAACTGCACTTGTGTCTTTTACATGATGTGCATTTTATATAAGTAATAATTGTGGAGATAAAATAAAATCCTTTTATAATATGATATTTAACAAGTCCTGCTATTTTTGGAGGTTGACTACATACAGTTTGGTTTAATTGTGTTTTCGATGATGACCTTCTAGTTTATGCTGAATGCTTTCCCGAGAAATGTTACCATTGCTGTATAGCAAATTATATCTCATTCATATATAAAAGATTAAAGGCATGTTGCATGTTAACTCTCAATTTTAAGAGTTACTTAATGTCTTTGCACTGAATCTCCCAAAATTTCTGGGTGAGCATTTTATTAGACAACGCAAAAATGTATCAATGTGTAGTGGTGATACTCGTCAACCTTTACTTTCAACATTTGTGATCTATTGTGAGTGCACTACAATATATCCAACCATTGACACACAACACAAAGAAGCAAAGCCAGCTATTTTAACTAATATCATCATGATGGAATATGGGAATGTTTCGAACTTTTAAATATATTAAACAATAGTACAATAATATGATGTAAAAAATAAATCCCTGAATAAAGGATCATATACTTATTTAGTTAAGTAATATTGCTGTGTCATCATTGGCAGAAATCAGCTCTAGAGGGCACCTTATCAGAGACGGAGGCAACGTTTGGTTCTCAGCTTTCCCAGTTACAATGCATGATTGATAACATTGAAGGTCAGCTGACACAGATCCGATCTGACCTAGAACAACAGAATCATGAATACCAAGTTCTCATGGACCAGAAGACCCATCTAGAGATGGAAATCAACACCTATAGACATCTGCTGGATGGACATGACATTCAGTGCGTATTACAATTTTTTGTCAAATTTAGTTGTTAAGTATTCAGATCAAAAAAGGAGAGGAAAAACGAAATAATGCTGGTTTAAGTGTAGTCATCATGCTGGAAAAGTTGACAAAACCTGGCTATTGATATATCTTCATATTCATGTATAACACCAATACATGGGCACTTACCTACATTAATGAGTATACAGTCACAAGTGAGCTTAATAAACACTATAATATTTTAGCTTATAGAACATAATGTAAAATATAATATTTGTAACTGAGGTGGGCAGTTAAATGTTTGTATTAATTGAACAGATGAGATAGGTGACTGAGAGAGACAACTAAGGAGGAGATAATTATTAGTCTTAAAGAAATTATAAAATGGGGTTTCACAGAAGGTATATGTGCATAGATGGGTTTTGGGGTACATAAAATTATAAATGAGGTGGATGATTAGATAGTTTGTTTTAATATTAGGGTTTAAAAGGAAGAAGATGTGCAACTAGGAAGAATCCAGGAAGTTGGTGGTAAGGATGTAAATAAAGCAGAGATGATGAGCGTAGTTTACATAGTAGATTAATAAGAAGACGAAGGGAAGTGCAACATACTAATCAGAAGTGGCCAAAACATAGATCCCCACCTGTTACATAACCACAGATCACATGTTGCTTTACTAATTGTAAGTTTGACAGTGCATCATTGGGATTATATGTCCGCAATAGCTGGGCATCCAGTTTCTGGATGCACCTTTTTTAGAGGGATATTTTTTTACTAGTTAAAGCATTATTAATTAGTTTATTAGTAATCCTGAATGCATATTACGAAGTATGAAGTACTAAGTACCGAAACATTTTGATGTTAAGGCAATGAAATATGTGCTGCTCTATATTTCAGTTAATTTCACCTAAGGTAATTGTGTATTTTTGATAACAAATATAATACACACCTCTCTCATATCAGTTCTTCTAAACATCTCTAAATCTTTTCACAGTATTGCCAATCATACCAGTTCTGGAGGTGAGTAATATACATCACAATAAAAAAATTACATTTGCAAGGAAAATGCTTAGCTATGTATTGCAATGATATTTGATATTTCTAAATCTTGCCTATTGATCCAACTGTTATACAGTATAAAGGGAATCAACACAGTAAAGGAGGAGACTATATTTAAAAGAAGAAAAACTACCACAACAAGAGGACATAGTCTTAAATTAGAGGGACAAAGGTTTAAAAATAATATCCGGAAGTATTACTTTACTGAGAGGGTAATTCATGCATGGAATAGCCTTCCAGCTGAAGTGGTAGAGGTTAACACAGTGAAGGAGTTTAAGCATGTGTGGGATAGGCATAAGGCTATCCTAACTATAAGATAAGGCCAGGGACTAATGAAAGTATTTAGAAAATTGGGAAGACTAGATGGGCCGAATGGTTCTTATCTGCCGTCACATTCTATGTTTCTATTACTTTCTTAAGATTGAATCAACCCAAAAATAAAAGATGTAATAAAGTCTGTGTGCCCATCTAATTTTTCCACGTCTGCTCTGTTCTAGCATCCCATCACAACAAGTGCAAGTAATGGCCGTGTGCTTCTCAATAAGCTCTTGATGCCTCTCTAGAAAAAGAATAACATGAATTGAATCATTATGAAATCAACTTCTCTGGAATTAGCAATCTGCCTTTATTGTCTTTCTTTAATTCCCTCTCCATTCCTAAACTGATACTGATTAAATGCAAGTGAAAATCCAACACAAAATATATTAGCTATGTGTACAAGTGAAACTGATATTGTTCTGAATTATTGGACACTGTTTGTGTCATATTGTTACTGAAAAAAATAGAACTCATCTACAGCTTGTATATCAATACAATATTTACAATGACTTTATGCAGCTTTATCGAAGGATGGTGTTGAGTGGTTTGCCTGGCAAATATTATATGAAAGAACATTTGAATTTCCAAGTACTGAAAGCATTTTATAACTGTTTCACGAAAATAAAATTCTAAGACAATGTTGATCTGCTGCATATTTTTTTGTAAACTAGTATTTTACTAATATTGTAAAGCGCTGCGGATTACGTGGGCGCTATATATATGCCAAAAATAATAATGAAATATTAATAATATATTTATCGTTTGGATTTAAGTTTTGTGGGAACTTTTGGACTGTATTGCAATTACAACTTTATTGTAACTCAATCTACAATTAATTTAAAATAAATAATTTTTCTTTGTCTTCTGCAAACCCGGTGGTGTATTTGTATTTTGTATTACGAAAGCTAAAAGCTGTTGGATTCTCAGCTTTTCAAATATTTTAGAATTGAATTGCCTGAATTTAGCTAGTAATATTTGTTTTCACTACTGTTTGGAGTTGAATGAATAAACCCCTCAAACCCACACACATTATTGCACTGCTGGAACAATAAAACACAAACTATAGTCAGTTTCTGAAAATATATTTACTGTGCTAAGAATTACAATTAAGACAGATCAACTTTAAATGTTAAGAATATTTATAGTGTACAAAACAAACAAATAAACAACAACAACAAAAAACAAATCTACCTCCACTACAGGCAATGTAGACTGTGAAATGTACAACATCTTGGAAACATTGTAAAAAATAGTTTATTGGTTTGATATTTTTGAGAACGGCTAACGTAGGTATTCACAAAAGTCAGAATTCAAAGTGAATTTAGAATTTAAGGTTAAAATCCCCCCAACTGGACGCTTGCTGTGAATCCAGTTTGGTTACTTTGGCCTAACATTTGAAATCCATTCACTTTGAAGTCTCACATTTGGGAATAACCCTGTAAGAGTAACTAAATAACGTAGGAATTCATGAATTGCAGATATACAAACAAAGCATATTTTAATTTTGTAAACATCAGTTTATCGGTTATCGATTTGTTTAAATGTGACAACATTCTCTAAAATATCATTTTAATTCTAAGAAAAAAAAGTCTGTTTATATTACCAATATATAATATTCATCTGTGATGATAAATATAAAAATATATTAAAAAAATATATATAATTTGAGAACGACATAATTGGTTTGTATAGTTATATTTATGTGTTTTAGTGTTGCATGGGAGAGCATCACATTGTTTTGGTCTCTGCTGTGGCTCACCTAATAGAAATAGGTGGAGACCTATCATCAAGCCCCTACTTCAGGGATAGGAACCCTTCGACATTCCATATGACGTGCACTACATCTCCCGTAATACTCCTACAGCCATGATGCTGGCAAAGCATCAGGGGGATGTAGTCTGTAACATCTGAAGTGCTGAAGGATGTCTATCCCTACTTAGTATCTTAGCGTCACAGGTGACCTAAAATTTTTATTCCTTTATTATGTTTTCTTAATAAAGGGACAAATGTCTTTGTCAGTGTAATGAAGCCACACAGCTCTCTCTAATTGCTCTAACAGCTTACAGCAAATATATGTACTGACAACATGGAAAATAAGTCAGTCACATTGGACTGCATGAATGAATGATGGTAACTGAAAAGAATATTATTGCCAACTTCTAATCGATAAAAACAACAAAAATCCAAAGGAAGCATCATATGTTGCATGGGCACCTTTGATGCATGTTGGGAAATGATAATGGGTATCTTCAAAACGTTTTGGCCCATACTAGTGTCATGGGCAAATGCAAATATTACAAGTTTTAGAATGAACTGTTGTATTTCTTAAACTGTGTACTTTGTCTTAAAGAGATATTGCAAACTGACAAGGTGGTAGAAATGGAACATATTGTTTTTCATAACTGTTTCTTTAGGCAATAACCTCTTACCTACCTACAGTGCATAATATGTTTGCGCCATTTTGTCCCAGACGAATTACAATAACAATAATGCTTAAGCAAGCTTCAAGTCTATGCTACGACTCTTTCAGTATGCAACATACTGTGGTAACCTTAGTAGATAAGGATGTTCAGACATTAAGATGGCATCTTGAATTAAGTCAGGAAAATTTACATGACATATGCACCCTTTAGATATGGCCTTGTATGTTTGCCAAATTAAGGGAGGTCCTAAAACGAATCAAGTAAAAGAAGTGTTACTTTTTCATATATGAACTACAGTAACCCTAAAATGGAGACACCTAAGGTATAAATAGGTGTACTTTTAAATGTTAAGGAACAGAGGAGAGACTTGGAGACAGACGCAGCTCCATCTTAAAATGACAGAGAGGCTGACATGATGACATGTTCAGAAGGGTATGAAGGGTATGTTAACCTATTAATGATATTTGCAAGCATTTAATTTAATCTTATAAACTCTGCTATAATGGATTTTATATATCTATATTTATATTTTTATATAATAAATACAAAAAAGACAAAACTTTATTGCTTCCAAGACAATCCTTATTTTATATTGTATTCACAATTATTTATATATGTTAAATAGAGGATCACTTGCACTAACGATATAAAATTATAGCTAAGATATCTGTATGGTAAGCCCTGCTAAGTTCTATGCTTTAAGACCTTATAGTGGTAAATAAGGGAACCAGCCGCGGTTACACTAGTATCAGATAGACACCTTAAGGATGTCGTGACACCTCATCCATCTATTACGGAACGCAGATGGAGAAATTTGAGAAACTTTTTGTTACCCAGTCATCTCCCCGCTAGTGCCACCTCAGGTCACCCTAAAAAATACTTACCAGCGGGCTCCTAACAATGTGGTCATTGTAGTGCATGTCCCTTTATCAACAGACATTATAAGGCCTACTCCAGTAGCAACAATATGGAAATGTATAGATCACACTCTTTCTTTAGTTGTTGCACCATTGGAATAGTCTATTTACTGACATGTTCTTGTGGCCTGATGTATGTGTAAGACATTTTGCATATTTAAATACAGAATCCAGGAACACATTAATTCAATATGGAGATGTCTGGAAACCCCAATTTCCAGGCATCTACATCACCATCATGACCACTCCTCAGCTCTTATTTATGAGTCTGGAACATGTACCTCAACCAACGCGTAAAGGGGTTGGTACATTACACTTTGTCAGAGAGAGGCGTTCTGAATTTATAGGTCAAAAACACTATCGCCACAGTGATTAAATAAAGGGTTTTCTTACTCCCCCTTCATATGATACAGGGACTGATTCTGTGACTATGTGGGTTTTTATTGTAAGCTAGTATGCTATACAACAATTGTTGTCTAAACCTTTTTTAACCTTTTTAGTTACTTGCACTTTTTAATTGGTGTCTTTAATCACTAATTTTGCTCTCATCTAAATATGTATAATGATGACTGACTACTTGTGACATTATAGTAGTTCATGTATTCTTCAGTGGCTCTTTATACCACTTTATGTAACATTTATTATAGATACTCAACTTACAGCTTATACTTATGATTACATATGGGAGGTACCTTCTAATGGGTCAACCCACGTTGGCACTATTCATCCATAATGCATTCACCCATCATGTATTCCTCTTGTGCCTGCCTTATAATCATTTCAAGTAATGGTATTAACCCTTCTTTACAGCTAACTAGGACATAATATAACTTTCTTTTCGTTGTGGTATAAACAAGGGTATAAAATATTGTGGTAACTGCCTGCTATGTATGTTGGTTTGCAGCAATCGCATGTGGGCAGTGCTTGATGATGGGATGTCCCATCCCATTACTATTGAACAGACCCACTCTGCGCACGTCACGGATGCTGCCCACGTCCCACGTTGGGTCGGACCTATGACGCTGCATACTGACGTCTCCTGTGCAGACAGTTCGATATGGATGCTGCTTTCCTGTAATGGATAGTGTGAACAAATATTGCCTAATTGGCCTACAGCTATGCTAGTCACAGGTGGTGAATGCCTATTGGTGGTCTTCCCAACCCCATTGATTATACACCTCCCTATTAGGTCTGGCTACACTTCAAGTAAGGGGATTGGATGAGACATCGTTGTGCACCGCCCCCTGACCAGCTGATTCTGTTATGGCTCATTGTTTATATGGTATTTAAACAGACTACTGGATGAGACAGACTACTTTTCCCCTGACGTCGGCATTGTATCACACCGAAACGCGCGTCAGGCTCTTTTACTATTTTCAATTATGCACTTATTTTCACGTTAGGTAGCACTTCGCCTTTTCTTTGAGTTATCTCTGCAGGGTCTATGGTTTAGGTACGCATTCTTTCTGAGTGATATGCAGACAATTCCCTTTTGTCCCCATCTAGCCTTTGACAGTACCTGTATATTAGCAGGATATCTAACCAGAGTGGAGTTACTTTTGTGCCTCTCATCTGTCCTATAGGGATACCCTCTACCTGGCATTCAGACACTGTCTTTCCTATTTAGGACCCCTAGTTAGATATAGTGGCTCTATGTTATAGTCTTGATAAAGGTTTTTAATTCAATTTATTTTGGTTTTGCTACTATACTATTTTAGATTGTACACTTTCTCATACTGCCCCTCTTTTGGGAGTGGATGAGTGAACGATAGCTAGTGCCTGCATGTAATGCAAAATAAATGAAAGGGTGGTCATTTAACGATGAGTTTATCAAGCAGGCTTGGGGTTTTCCTCTTCAGTCTACCCACACTGGAACAGGAATGTGCAAATTACACAGTATATCAGAATCAGAAATAGTGAAACTCTCTATACCAGTGGTCTCAATTCAAATTACTTGGGGGTCACTGGCCTAGTAATCCTTTCACATGAGGGCAGCTTGTAAAAATCACAAATCACAAAATTGCAAAGAAACATAAGTAACCACAGCCGGTTCCCCTATTTACCACTATAATGTCAGGGCTAACCATACAGATATCTTAGCCATAATATTATATAGTTTGTAAGAGTTTCTCTATTTAAAATATATAAATAATTGAGAATTCAATATAAAGACAGAGACAAGCCCATAATTGTATGGGGAACTGAACGTAACGACAGAAGGCTAAGTGAGGCCTTGTGAAATTGAGGTAATCGTAACGATGTATGTCAGGAACAAGGTCGACAATCAGAATTTTTAAACGTGGTAATTTGACGGCAAAGAAACGCGGCCATCTTTGGAAGGTCTGATGTACCTTCATAGAGAATAACGGCACGGTGGACATCTTGCAGGAGGCGGATATACTCAGATGATTGCCGGAAACACTCCATATATGGCGAAGAGGACAGACCATCAATCCACAGCTGTTAATATTTGTAATGTAATTATATTTATTATGTATACTAAATAAGAAGGTTGTGGCACTAGTTATGATATGCACCTGAGGGATACCTATTGGGTCGAAACGCGTTGTGCTCTATTTTATTTTATTTTGTTTCAAAAAAAGTATTTACCTTTTAACCACTTTGCAACCTGGTTCCTGATTTTAATAATGGACATGGACTACTCTAAGAGACCAACATTTAACAGTCCATATTGCATTTATGGTGTATTTTGCTGCATGAATCACTGCTTCTCTGTGACAAGTCTAGTATATCCATGTGTTCCTCATGAAAAAAAAAAATATATATATATTTTTTATTCATTTGGCTGTCAACTTTCAAGTTCCTTATTCTTGTGCTTCAAGTGAAGAACTGTTTAATTCAGCCACTTTCTATTTGTTTTATTGTTGTCCATCTGTCACTATCTCAACAAATGTATAATCCCTTTGATCAGTTAATTCAAGTCTGTGTCTGGTGTAGTCTGCATGCATCAGATATCAACTATGTTGCTCCAAGAGCCAAACTACAAAAGCTCGGTATGACAAGGTGTGATGATCTATACCTTTGATGTACATTTATAATATAAATTAGTATATTAATAATTGTATTCACCACCTGTAAGCGTTCTCATTAATCCACAAATTATTTATACCTGAATCACATTTAAGGCAGATACAAACATTGCATGAAGGAATGTGATGCCTATAAAATACCTATAAAAGTAACCTTATTCTACTTAACTTGCTTCATATATAAGAAGGTTGAAGTCAAAGAGACACTTGCAGTTTACTTTCTTAAGAAGAAACATTTCCAATTCTTCGTATAACTCAATCAGAGATCAACATGAAGCATCAAGGCAGTTACTCTTCTTCTGGATCCCTCATGGTAGGCCACAGCTCTAGAGGCCATTGTTCCTCTGGTAGCATCTCTTCACTTCATCATGGAAGCTCCAATACACTTCACCATAAGAGCTTCAGCTGCTCTAATACTGGTGGTTCCTATAAATCATCCAGCCACCTTGGAGGAAACTCAAAACTATCTATCAGTTCATCTGCTGGTCTTGCACATGGAGGTGGAAGTGGCCATGGTGGCCTTAAAAGTAATCTCAAGAGTTCTAACAACCACGCTCATAACCTACTTCGTATTAATGAGAAAGATACAATGAGGGCTCTGAATGAGCGTCTTGCCTCCTATTTAGACAAGGTCCATTCGCTGGAGCAGGAGAATGCTGAGCTGGAAAGGAAGATATGTGAATGGTATGCAAACAATGCCCCAAGCTCACTCCCTGACTCCAGTGAGTACTATAGGACAATTCAGGAGCTACAGAACCAGGTAAAACAAGACATGTATGAGTTTATCTCCAATGTGGTCAGTTGTAGGATGATCTTACCTACAATGTATGTTTTAATGAGTTAAAGTAAACTTGTGATTCAATAAAATATCCAGACCAAAGTGTCTGCAAACCCTGAAAATACGACTGTAGACATGACTGTATAATAGAGATATAGAAATGTTAAATATTCTACAATGTTTTATATACATTACATGAGAAAATATATTGTATACACTGTATACATTTCATTCTGACTTGAACTAAACCAATATATATGCCATTAAAGATTTCTTCTAATGTGGTTATCCTACTTACAATGTATGTTTTAATGACTTAATAAACGTACCATTCTGTAAAATAATTCTAGTCCTAAAAACTCATGTAGAATTTACTGTATAATTGAGATACAGAGATGTTCAAAACTGTTTTATATAACTTATATAATAAAAAAATTTATATACACTATATAAATAGTATGATGTTGTTACATTCAAGAATGCAGCATTTCAAATTCTGAACACAGAGCCTTAAAAATCGCATGTGGTTCAGCTTTTCTCACATAGAAAATATAATATCAGTGTGTATAATCAACAGAACATTTTCTTATGACTTTAGTTATAGTCAAATATAGTTCATGGAGACCAAAATGTTTAAGCAAAAGAAGTAATATAAATTATTAGAGATGAATTGATAATGACTTTGCTTACCAGATTTCTTCGGCAACAATTACCAGTGGAAGGATTGTCCTACAGATAGATAGAGCTCAACAAGCTTCAAATGACTTCAGAAGCAGGTAAGTCTATGAAGTTATGAGATTTAAAGGAACAAGTGAAGACTTTGCTTTATACAACTGTAGCGGCATATATATTGTAAAGGTGACTTTGTGTGGCAAAATATAAAGATAAACATATATTCATCAAGTATGGTGTTTAGTATTAAATGAATAATTAAAAAACACAATATAAAAAAAAAATCTAAAAAGCTCTAATTTCTCACAAACAAACCTATTTTTATATTGTTACAGCAAAACATTCAGCATAGAATTGTACATAACTTTAGTTTAATGAAAATTCTCTCGAGTCAACGATGAGGTCTACCAGCACTGAAGTAACTGCTTTAGTAATGTTTTTACTAAGTTTTCGGTTGAGGAAAGTTAGTGCAGTAACTGTAAACTTTCTTATGTGTTCTATTAAGGTGTCTATTATGTTTGATTGTAAGCATTAGTTTTGTCTAGTATGGTTTTAACTATTAGAAGCCATAAGTTCTTTGGTGGATTTTCTTTTGTTGTCTGTGTCTTTGTTTTTCTTAAATGTCCACTTTGTAAAATAGACTGAGTTACGACCATAGGTTAGAAGATAGTGTTGACCTTTATGGTAGACTATTGGCTAATTTAGGATTATCAAGGCATTATAATGTATCCATAACTATTTCTCTATATTGTTGCAAGCCGTGTAATCACAATACAATATATTGTAAATACCTTTACACAATCCTTTACTAACTGCACATGGCATTGCCGTAGTTATCATCAAGCTACGTTTTGTCATGTTATTCCATACAGAAAAAAATACTTTCAACCAGCATTAAATTGAAAAGTGATAAAGAGTTGATGCCATGCCTATTCTCAGAATTGATTATATAATGTAGTGTGCTCTTTTATTATTATTATCAATTTAGGTGTGAGATGGAGATAAACACAAGGAACAATGTGGATGGAGATACTGGTTCTTCGAGAAGAGTCTTACAACAAATTAACAATGAAGTGCAAACCTTATCCGGAGAAGTCCAAGGTCTCCAGCAAGAACTTTTCCAGATGAGGAACAACCATTCAGGGGTAAAGTGGAAAGATGTCAATGGCCTATTATTATAATTTATTAAAACACTACTGAGAACAAAGATGTATTTGGAATAATTACAGGCCTTCAAATGTCAAGTCAAAAGCTACTAGCCAGGCCCCAAAAGTTTTTTGCCACTTCAGCCTAGAGAATCCTTGGCACTTTTACCAATGGTAACTTTGTACAATGCACGGCTAAATTTTTACTACGAATGTCCAGTTAATTTTTTTCCATTAATTAATAAAAGTGAACAGTTTTGGGGATCTCTTTCTTACATACATCGTGAGTGTTTGTTTGCAAATTCAAACTTAAGGGTTATTTATTTCTTTATAAATTACTTTACAATCTTTCTTTCACGTCTTACCCTCGTCCTATGTCTTTTTCAAAGGAAGTGGATGGTCTGCGTGCTCAGCTTGGAACCAGAGTCAACGTAGAAATGAATGCTGCTCCATCCATCGACCTGAACAGAACTCTATCTGAGCTCAGAGAAGAATATGAAAATATGATGCAGAGGAACCTCAGGGAAGTTGAGGGCATGTTCTTGGCAAGGGTAATTCTAACCATAATATCATGGAGCAACTAGCTGACAGTAAACTATAACACTATAACTATAGATCCATACCAGATTGGTAAGAACAGTATTATATTTTTACGTGAAATTTTTTTTTCTTGCAGAGTGCAGAACTGGACCGTGAGATGTCTTTAGGAGCCGTACAATTGCAGTCAGTTAATAATGATATCATTGATTCAAAGCGGTCTTTACAGACCCTGGAGATCGAGCTGCAGAGCCACCTAAGTATGGTATGTCAACATGAATTAAAATATGTAAACATATATAAAGCAACACCATGACTATATACCGCATTTGCTGTTTTAATTGGTTCTAATAATGCTTTATTGACTACAAAGTCACTTGTGTCAGTCTTTAGTTTAAGAAAGTTTACCCTTGGCAATTTTTATGTCTCCAAGTTGTGCCAATAATAGTAACTGCACTTGTGTCTTTTACATGATGTGCATTTTATATAAGTAATAATTCTGGAGATAAAATAAAATCCTTTTATAATATGATATTTAACAAGTCCTGCTATTTTTGGAGGTTGACTACATACAGTTTGGTTTAATTGTGTTTTCAATGATGACCTTTTAGTTTATGCTGAATGCTTTCTCGAGAAATGTTTCCATTGCTGTATAGGAAATTATATCTCATTCATATATAAAAGATTAAAGGCATGTTGAATGTTAACTCTCAATTTTAAGAGTAACTTAATGTCTTTGCACTGAATCTCCCAATATTTCTGGGTGAGCATTTTATTAGACAATGCAAAAATGTATCAAAGTGTAGTGGTGGTACTCGTCAACCTTTACTTTCAACATTTGTGATCTATTGTGAGTGCACTACAATATATCCAACCATTGACACACAACTCAAAGAAACAAAGCCAGATATTTTAACTAATATCATCATGATGGAATATGGGAATGTTTCGAACTTTTAAATATATTAAACAATAGTACAATAATATGATGTAAAAAATAAATCCCTGAATAAAGGATCATATACTTATTTAGTTCAGTAATATTGCTGTGTCATCATTGGCAGAAATCAGCTCTAGAGGGCACCTTATCAGAGACGGAGGCAACGTTTGGTTCTCAGATCTCCCAGTTACAATGCATGATTGATAACATTGAAGGTCAGCTGACACAGATCCGATCTGACCTAGAACAACAGAATCATGAATACCAAGTTCTCATGGACCAGAAGACCCATCTAGAGATGGAAATCAACACCTATAGACATCTTCTGGATGGACATGACATTCAGTGCGTATTACAATTTTTTGTCAAATTTAGTTGTTAAGTATTCAGCTCAAAAAAGGAGAAGAAAAACGAAATAATGCTGGTTTATGTGTAGTCATCATGATGGAAAAGTTGACAAAACCTGGCTATTGATATATCTTCATATTCATGTATAACACCAATACATGGGGCACTTACCTACATTTATGAGTATACAGTCACAAGTGAGCATAATAAACACTAGAATAGTTTAAATGAATAAGCTTATAGAACATAACGTAAAATATAATAATTGTAACTGAGGTGGGCAGTTAAATGGTTATATTAATTGAATAGATGAGATAGGTGACTGAGGGAGACAACTAAGGAGGAGATAATTATTGGTCGTAAATAAATTACAAAATGGGGTTTCACAGAAGGTCATATACCTTCTGTGAAACCACATTTTGTAATTTATTTACGACCAATAATTAGATGGGTTTTGGAGTACATAAAATTAAAAATGAGGTGGCTGATTAGATAGTTTGTTTTAATATTAGGGTTTAGAAGGAAGAAGATGTGCAACTAGGAAGAATCCAGGAAGTTGGTGGTAAGGATGTAAATAAAGCAGAGATGATGAGCGTAGTTTACATAGTAGATTAATAAGAAGACGAAGGGAAGTGCAACATGCTAATCAGAAGTGGCCAAAACATAGATCCCCACCTGTTACATAACCACAGATCACATGTTGCTTTACTAATTGTAAGGTTGACAGTGCATCATTGGGATTATATGTCCGCAATAGCTGGGCATCCAGTTTCTGGATGCACCTTTTTTAGAGGGATTTTTTTTTAATAGTTAAAGCATTATTAATTAGTTTATTAGTAATCCTGAACGCATATTACGAAGTATGAAGTACTAAGTACCGAAGAATGTTGATGTTAAGGCAATACAATATGTGCTTCTCTATATTACAGTTAATTTCAGCTAAGGTATTTGTGTATTTTTGATAACAAATATAATACACACCTCTCTCATATCAGTTCTAAACATTTCTAAATCTTTTCACAGTATTGCCGATCATACCAGTTCTGGAGGTGAGTAATATACATCACAATAAAAAAAATACATTTACAACGAAAATGCTTAGCTATGTATTGCAATGATATTTGATATTTCTAAACCTTGCTTATTGATCCAACTGTTATACAGTATAAAGGGAATCAACACAGTAAAGGAGGAGACTATATTTAAAAGAAGAAAAACTACCACAACAAGAGGACATAGTCTTAAATTAGAGGGACAAAGGTTTAAAAATAATATCCGGAAGTATTACTTTACTGAGAGGGTAGTGAATGCATGGAATAGCCTTCCAGCTGAAGTGGTAGAGGTTAACACCAGTGAAGGTGTTTAAGCATGCATGGGATAGGTATAAGGCTATCCTAACTATAAGATAAGGCCAGGGACTAATGAAAGTATTTAGAAAATTGGGCAGACTAGATGGGCCGAATGGTTCTTATCTGCCATCACATTCTATGTTTCTTTGTTTCTATTACTTTCTTAAGATTTAATCAACCCAAAAATAAAAAGATGTAATAAAGTCTGTGTGCCCATCTAATTTTTCCACGTCTGCTCTGTTCTAGCATCCCATCACAACAAGTGCAAGTAATGGCCGTGTGCTTCTCAATAAGCTCTTGATGCCTCTCTAGAAAAAGAATAACATGAATTGAATCATTATGAAATCAACTTCTCTGGAATTAGCAATCTGCCTTTATTGTCTTTCTTTAATTCCCTTTCCATTTCTAAACTGATACTGATTAAATGCAAGTGAAAATCCAACACAAAATATATTAGCTATGTGTACAAGTGAAACTGATATTGTTCTGAATTATTGGACACTGTTTGCGTCATATTGTTCCTGAAAAAAATAGAACTCATCTACAGCTTGTATATCAATACAATATTTACAATGACTTTATGCAGCTTTATCGAAGGATGGTGTTTAATGGTTTGCCTGGCAAATATGATATGAAATAACATTAGAATTTCCAAGTACTGAAAGCATTTTATAACTGTTTCACGAAATTATAATTCTAAGACAATGTTGATCTGCTGCATATTTTTTTGTAAACTAGTATTTTACTAATATTGTAAAGCGCTGCGGATTACGTGGGCGCTATATAAATGCCAAAAATAATAATGAAATAATAATAATATATTTATCGTTTGGATTTAAGTTTTGTGGGAACTTTTAGACTGTATTGTAATTACAACTTTATTGTAACTGAATCTACAATTCTTTTAAAATAAATCATTTTTCTTTGTCTTCTGCAAACCCGGTGGTGTATTTGTATTTTGTATTACGAAAGCTAATGTTGGATTCTCAGCTTTTCAAATATTTTAGAATTGAATTGCCTGAATTTAGCTAGTAATATTTGTTTTCACTACTGTTTGGAGTTGAATGAATAAACCCCTGAAACTCACACACATTATTGCACTGCTGGAACAATAAAACACAAACTATAATCAGTTTCTGAAAATATATTTACTGTGCTAATAATTACAATTAAGACAGATCAACTTTAAATGTTAAGGATATTTATAGTGTACAAAACAAACAAATAAACAACAACAAAAAACAAATCTACCTCCACTACAGGCAATGTAGACAGTGAAATGTACAACATTGGAAACACTGTAAAAAAGAGTTTATTGGTTTGATATTTTTGAGAACGGCTAACGTAGGTATTCACAAAAGTCAGAATTCAAAGTGAATTTAGAATTTAAGGCTAAAATCCCCCCAACTGGACGCTTGCTGTGAATCCAGTTTGGTTACTTTGGCCTAACATTTGAAATCCATTCACTTTGAATTCTCACATTTGGGAATAACCCTGTAAGAGTAACTAAATAACGTAGGAATTCATGAATTGCAGATATACAAAAAAAGCATATTTTAATTTTGTAAACATCAGTTTATCGGGTATCGATTTGGTTAAATGTGACAACATTCTATAAAATATCATTTTTTAAGAAAAAAACAGTCTGTTTATATTACCAATATATAATATTCATCTGTGATGATAAATATAAAAATATATTAAAAAAATATAATACTTGGCTTGTATAGTTATATTTATGTGTTTTAGTGTCGCATGGGAGAGCAGCACATTGTTTTGGTCTCTGCTGTGGCTCACCTAATAGAAATAGGTGGAGACCTATCATCAAGCCCCTACTTCAGGGATAGGAACCCTTCGACATTCCATATGACGTGCACTACATCTCCCGTAATACTCCTACAGCCATGATGCTGGAAAAGCATCAGGGGGATGTAGTCCGCAACATCTGAAGTGCTGAAGGATGTCTATCCCTACTTAGTATCTTAGGGTCACAGGTGACCTAAAATTTTTATTCAATTATTATGTTTTCTTAATAAAGGGACAGATGTCTTTGTCAGTGTAATGAAGCCACATGGCTCTCTCTAATTGCTCTAACAGCTTACAGCAAATATATGTACTGACAACATGGAAAATAAGTCAGTCACACATTGGACTGCATGAATGAATGATGGTAACTGAAAAAAATATTATTGCCAACTTCTAATCGATGAAAACAACAAAAATCCAAAGGTAGCATCATATGTTGCATGGGCACCTTTGATGCATGTTGGGAAATGATAATGGGTATCTTCAAAACGTTTTGGCCCATACTAGTGTTATGGGCAAATGCAAATATTACAAGTTTTAGAATGAAATGTTGTATTTCTTAAACTGTGTACTTTGTCTTTAAGAGATATTAACAGACTTTTCTAAAATTAGAATATGGGTAGAGGAGTCATTATCAGACTGGAGCAATTTAAATGAAGTCCAAGAGAATTGGGATTATTTAAAAGTTGCACTATTGAAGGCAACATAAAATTGCATTAGGCTTGTCAGTAAAAGCCAAAAATTCAAGAAACCACTGTGGTACTCTGCAGATGTGGCCAAAATAGTTAAAAACTAAAAGTTAGCATTTAGGAATTATAAAAAAAACCCAGAGTGAGGAAGACAAAATGATCTATAAGATTAGGCAGAAAGAGGCTAAGCAAGTTATAAGAGCTTCCAAATCACACACAGAAGAGAAAATAGCACAGTCAGTAAAAAAGGGGGACAAAACATTTTTAGATACATAAATGAGAAAAGAAAAGTAAAACAAGGATTAGTTAGATTAAAAACAAAAGAAGGAAGGTATGTAGAAGAGGATAAAGGTCAGGCTGACTGCCTCAATGAATATTTTTGTTCCGTATTTACAGATGAAAATGAAGTAAAGGGACATCAGTTAAGAAAAAGGATAAATGAGTCATTTATTACACGTGAGTTTACAGAGTAAGAGGTTCTATTTCAACTGTCAAAAGTTAAGACAAATAAGTCAATGGGACCTCATGGAATACACCCAAAGCTATTAAAAGAGCTTAGTGGTGTACTAGCAAAACCATTAATAGATTCATTTAACCAATCATTGTTAACAGGAGTAGTCTCAGAAGATTGGAAGTTAGCGAATGTTGTGCCCATTTACAAGAAAGGTAGTAGGGAGGAGTCGGGCAACTATAGGCCAGTAAGCCTTACTTCAGTAGTGGGGAAAGTGATGGAAACCATGTTAAAGGATAGGATTGTTGAACATCTAAAAACACATGGATTTCAAGATCAGAGACAACATGGGTTTACTTTAGGGAGATTATGCCAAACTTATCTGATTGATTTTTTTGATTGGCTAACTAAAATTATAGATCACGATGGTGCAGTAGACATTGCTTACCCAGATTTCAGTAAGGCTTTTGACACTGTTGCACATAGAAGGCTTATCAATAAACGGCAATCTTTAAGTTTGGATTCCAATATTGTTGAATGGGTAAGGCAGTGGCTGAGTGACAGGCAACAGAGGGTTGTAGTTAATGGAATATATTCCAAGCTTGGACTTGTCACCAGTGGGGTACCTCAGGGATCTGTACTTGGACCCATTCTCTTTAATATTTTTATTAGTGATATTGCAGAAGGTCTTGATGGTAAGGTATGTTTTTTTGCTGATGATACTAAGAAATGTAACAGGGTTGATGTTCCAGGAGGGACAAGCCAAATGGCAAATGCTTTAGGTAAACTAGAAAAATGGTCAGAATTGTGGCAACTGACATTTAATGTGGATAGTGCAAGAAAAGGCATCTTGGATGTAAAAACCCAAGGACAGAGTACAGAATATTTGATAGAGTACTTACCTCAACATATGAGGAAAGGGATTTAGGGGTGATTATTTCTGATGACTTAAAGGTAGGGAGAGAATGTAATAGAGCAGAATAGAACTGGTGAGACCTCACTTGGAGTATTGTACACAGTACTGGAGACCGTATCTTCAGAAGGATATTAATACCTTAGAGAGGGTTCAGAGAGGGGCTACTAAACTGGTTCATGGATTGGGGAGAAAACTTATAAGGAAAGGTTAAAGGATCTTAACATGTATAGCTTGGAGGAAAGACGAGACAGGGGGGATATGATAGAAACATTTAAATATATAAAGGGAATCAAAACAGTAAAGGAGGAGACTGTATTTAAAAGAAGAAAAACTACCACAACAAGAGGACATAGTCTTAAATTAGAGGGACAAAGGTTTAAAAATAATATCCGGAAGTATTACTTTACTGAGAGGATAGAGGATGCATGGAATAGCCTTCCAGCTGAAGTGGTAGAGGTTAACACAGTAAAGGAGTTTAAGCATGCATAGGATAGGCATAAGGCTATCCTAACTATAAGATAAGGCCAGGGACTAATGAAAGTATTTAAAAAATTGGGCAGACTAGATGGGCCGAATGGTACTTATCTGCCGTCACATACTATGTTTCTATTGCAAACTGACAAGGTGTTAGAAATGGAACATATTGTTTTTCATAACTGTTTCTTTAAGCAATAATCTCTTACCTACGTACAGTGCATAATATGTTTGCGCCATTTTGTCCCAGATGAATTACAATAACAATAATGCATAAACAAGCTTCAAGGCTATGCTACGACTCTTTCAGTACGTGATATACTGTGGTAACCTTAGTAGATAAGGATGTTCAGACTTTAAGATGCCATCTTGAACTAAGTCAGGAAAATTTCCATGACGTATGCACCCTTTAGTTATGACCTTGTATGTTTGCCAAATTAAGGGAGGTCCTAAGATAAACTCTGCTATAATGGATTTTATATGTCTATATTTATATTTTTATATAATAAATACCAAAAAGACAAAACTTTATTGCTTCCAAGACAATCCTTATTTTATATTGGATTCTCAATTATTTATATATGTTAAATAGAGGATCTCTTACATTAACGATATAAAATTATAGCTAAGATATCTGTATGGTTAGCCCTGCTAAGTTCTATGCTTTAAGACCATATAGTGGTAAATAAGGGAACCAGCCGCGGTTACACTAGTATCAGATAGACACCTTAAGGATGTCGTGACACCTCATCCATCTATTACGGCACGCAGAGGGAGAAATTTGAGAAACCTTTCGTTACCCAGCCACCCCTGCTATTGCCACTTTAGGTCAACCTAAAAACTACTTACCAGCGGGCACCTACCAATGTGGTCATTGTAGTGCATGTCCCTTTATCAACAGACATTATAAGAACTACTCCAGTAGCACCAATACGGAAATGTTTAGATCACACTCTTTGTTTGCACCATTGGAATAGTCTATCTACTCACCTGTTCTTGTGGCCTGATGTTTGTGGGTAAGACATTTCGCCTATTTAAATACAGAATCCAGGAACACGCTAATTCAATATGGAGATGTCTGGAAACCCCAATCTCCGGGCATCTACATCACCACCATGACCACTCCTCAGCTGGTATAAGATTTATGAGTCTGGAACATGTACCTCAACCAACAGGTAAAGGGTGTTGGTACATAAAACTTTGTCAGAGAGAGGCGTTCTGGGTCTATAGGTCAAAAACACTATCGCCACAATGATTAAATAAAGGGTTTTCTTATTCCCTCCTCATATGATACAGGGACTTATTCTGTGACTAGGTGGCTTTTTATTGTAAGCTAGTATGCTATACAACAATTATTGTCTAAACCTTTTTTAACCTTTTTAGTTACTTGCACTTTTTAATTGGTGTCTTTGCTCTCATCTAAAAATGTGTAATGATGACTGACTACTTGTGACATTATAGTAGTTCATGTATTCTTCAGTGGTTCTTTATACCACTTTAATTTAGACTTCTACTTATGGTAAACCAATTCAGAGACACATGCCTGGTTGAATATATGAATTATAAACCATGGATCGGACACACTGAGCATTAGTTATGTGCTTGTTGCTGCAAACCTTACACTTGACTACCAATGGACCTTATAATTTCATTACTTTTAATGTTATCACTGATGTCTCGCTTCATTAGCCATGTGCAACTTTTCTTTTTGATGTGATATTCTTTGGATTACGGTCACACAGTAGTGAGCTTGATTGTAGCATGATTTAAGTCACAGCATTTACTTGTGTAACCAACTGACGATACAATGTAACATTTATTATAGATACTCAACTTACAGCTATACTTATGATTACATGTGGGAGATACCTTCTAATGGGTCAACCCACGTTGGCACTATTCATCCATAATGCAATCACCCATCATGTATTCTTCTTCTGCCTGCCTTATAATTATGACATGGCAGAAATGCCATTTCCTGCAGGACATTTCAAGTAATGGTATTAACCCTTCTTTACAGCTAACTAGGACATAATATAACTCTATTTTCGTTGTGGTATAAACAAGGGTATAAAATATTATGGTAACTGCCCACTATGTATGTTGGTTTGCAGCAATCGCATGTGGGTGGTGCTTGATGATGGGATGCCCCATCCCATTACTATTGAACACACCCACTCTGCGCATGTCACGGAAGCTGCCCACGTCCCACGTTGGGTCGGACCTATGACGCTGCATACTGACGTCTCCTGTGCAGACAGTTCGATATGGGCGAATGGATGCTGCTTTCCTCTAATGGGTAATGTGAACAAATATTGCCTAATTGGACTACAGCCATGCTAGTCACAGGTGGTGACTGCCTATTGGCGGTCTTCCCAACCCCATTGATTATACACCTACCTACTAGGTCTGGCTACACTTCAAGTAAGGGGATTGGATGCGACATCTTTGTGCACCGCCCCCTGACCAGCTGATTCTGTTATGGCTCATTGTTTATATGGTATTCAAACAGACTACTGGATGAGACAGACTACTTTGCCCCTGACGACGGTATTGTACCACACCGAAACGCGCGTCAGGCTCTTTTACTATTTTTAATTATGCACTTATTTTCACGTTAGGTAGCAATTCGCCTTTTCTTTGAGTTATCTCTGCAGGGTCTATGGTATAGGTAGACACTAGCCTAGTGCGGTGCTGAGGTATTAGGGACAGAATATTTTTGTGGGGTATGATGTGTTCCTATTACTGATTTTCTAGCAGTGGAGTAATTCTGCTCTTTGTATACTCATCTCTTTATCTACAATTTTCGCTGGACGAGCAATTTCATTCTTTCTGAGTGATATGTAGTCAATTCCCTTGTGTCCCCATCTACCCTTTGACAGTAACTGTATATTAGCAGGATATCTAACCAGAGTGGAGTTACTTTTGTGCCTTTCATCTGTCCTATAGGGCTAACCTCTACCTGGCATTCAGACACTGTCTTTCCTATTTAGGACCCTAGTTAGATATAGTGGCTCTAAGTTATAGTCTTAATAAAGGTTTTTAATTCAATTTATTTTGGTTTTGCTACTATACTATTTTAGGTTGTACTCTTTCTCATAGTGCCCCTCTTTTGGGAGTGGATGAGTGAACGATAGCTAGTGCCTGCATGTAATGCAAAATAAATTAAAGGGTGGTCATTTAACGATGAGTTTATCAAGCAGGCTTGGGGTTTTCCTCTTCAGTCTACCCACACTGGTACAGGAATGTGCAAATTACACAGTATATCAGAATCAGAAATAGTGAAACTCTCTATACCATTGGTCTCAATTAAAATTACTTGGGGGTCACTGGCCTAGTAATCCTTTCACATGAGGGCAGCTTGTAAAAATCACAAATCACAAAATTGCAAGGAAACGTAAGTAACCACATAGGTAGCCGGTTCCCCTATTTACCACTATAATGTCTTGAAGCATAGAATTTAGCAGGGCTAACCATACAGATATCTTAGCCATAATATTATATAGTTTGTAAGAGTTTCTCTATTTAAAATATATAAATAATTGAGAATTCAATATAAAGACAGAGACCAGCCCATAATTGTACATGGAAATGAACGTAACGACAGGAGGCTGAGTGAGGCCTTGTGAAATTTAGGTAATCGTAACGAGTAAGATTTCAGTACCTGATACTGTATGTCAGGAACAAGGTCGACAATCCGTATTTTTAAACGTAGTAATTTGATGTGCCTAAAATCTTGACATAGTGAGAGAGCTAAGAACAACATATAAGAGAGAATTAAAAGACGCAGGAGGTTTAATAGAGTGCGAATGCTGAAAAGGGAAAATGAACCCTCTGAATAGGATGTATCAAAGGTAGCAAGTATAATTTAAACAGATATGTGACCTAGTTAGGTGGCCTATTAAACTGACAGAGTATTGAGAACCTAGCCGAGAGCTTGCTTACAAAATAAAAGAACTGTTAGTCATGACAGAATCAGATAATGACATGGATAAGAAACTCCTGAAGTTTTTTAATGTAGTTTTTAAATTAACCAGAGTGACATAGTGAAAGCAATACTTTAATGTAGTGATTATCAGATATTTTGGCTATGTGGATGGAGCAGGAAGTGGTATAGGTTACTGAATCCCCTAATTGAAAGAGAAATTGTATGAGGATACATGTGAAATACTGACTAAGATTCGAATTAGTGTACGAATAGATTTTTAAACGAAGTGCCTTGTAAACGAATGGATAAAGTGAACCAGTATCTAACGAAAACCGTTGGAAAATACATACAAATGAAATAAGTGAAGGAAATTTTGATTGAGTGAACTGACTACATGGTCGAAGAACAGACCGTTCGTATGCACGAATAGGTATAGCTGATACGAGAAAACTGTATTGGAAGCTTTGTACGAACTTACTGAAAGCCGCCAAAAAATATTTGAATGGATGATTACGTGAACGAGAAAACAAACAAAGATGTGAACACAAAAAAGGAGCCTATCTCTGCGTTTATAGGCTCAAATGTAGGAATAATCGATCGTTATTCCCTATGTGAACTTACGTGTGCATGCTGGGTCTCGTGTCTGGAAGGCGGGTGGATGCCCACAGGGTAGCCAGAGTGTTAGGCCAGAGGTCGGAGAAGAGGGACGCTGGAGTTGAAGTTTTGGCGGAAGTGCTGGTTGCTATGGTAACAGGTCAACCAGCGAGATCGACATAGGTGAGTAGGAGCCATGCGTTTAAATATGCAAAAAACTCCTCCCACAAATTCAGGCCTAATGGCCTTCCTATATGTTAACTTAAAAAAACTTTTTTCAGGCAGTAGGGGGACTGCCTGAGAGTTCAGGCAGTCCCTCTGCAGGCAGACCTGCGGACAGCCATTCCGGCCAGTTGATTGCGAGGACCCCACGATTACATTGCCCAGGAAGGCTGGATCATATGGAGGGGGACTGCCTGGGCTCGCAGGCAGTCCCCAGGATCGCGACCGCAGAGGTTTGCGGGGACCTAGTAAGTAGTAAGAATGGCGAAAGGAAAAAAAGGAGTACAGTCCATTTTTTAATCATCATAAACAAAGACAAACAAAATAATAATAAAAAACACACTACCCCAAAAATAAACCCATAAAGAGGAGATAATGAAGCTCAGTAGGCTAGGAAGGGGAGGCCAAATGAAGGCACAATACCTGAGGTTAGATAATCCAATATGGCATATAAGCCACCTATAGAAGAAATATGAATAGCTATATAACCTATATTGGAGACTGGGTAAATCTCCAAGTACCCCTAGTGCCCCAATCAGTTGTAAAGTCCTAGAACTGATAATGTAAATATGCACTGAATAGACATTTAGCTAAACACTCTAGCCCTATTGACGCAGATATAGCAAATCTCTTGGTATAAAATATTGAACAGCTAATTCCAAGTGATTGTCCACACTAAACTTTTGCACATATTGTACTAAAAGCTATCCATTATTAATCCTGTGTATAGGAAGGCTATAGTAATTAGGAGACAAAGTCCCTTTCTAAAGAGTGCTTAAATCCGGCTTCTATTCCCCATAAATTAAATTAACACCCAAACAGTGCTAAAATAAAAGTGCTGTGAGTTTAAAAAATTATGAGCCTAACGCGTATTGGCGCTTAAACGAGCACCTTTCTCAAAGGCTATCAATGAGGACACTAACCTGAGCATGTATTTGTACCTAAAGCGGCACTGTGCAGAGCTAATCCACGAGACAATGGGCGGCATTACATTTACACGCCCCCAGGTCAGAGTGGTGGTGAGGGCATCATGGTTTGGGGCTGCTCTGCTGCGTCAGGGCCTGGATGGATTGCTATCATCGAAGGAAAAATGAATTTCCAAGTTTATCAAGACATTTTGCAGGAGAACTTAAGGCCATCTGTCTACCAGCTGAAGCTCACTTTTTCTTTTACATCTCAATACAAATACAACAATATAAAACTTGGAAAAACTCACAATATTTAGAGCCTTTCTGAGCTGGCTCTAAACTTTAGAGGCAGATACATCAATCATATGTGGATTTGAGCTTGTAGGTCCCTTGGAAGATATCTGGAGTCTTCCTTCTTATAAAAATCAGGAACCAGGTTGCCAAACGGATAAAAGGGAAATACTTTTATTGAAACAAAATTAAATAAAATAGAGCACAACGCGTTTCGACCTAATGCAATAGGTCTTCCTCAGGTGCATATCATAACGACCTTCTTATATAGTATACATAATAAATATAATTACATTACAAATATTAACAGCTGTGGATTGATGGTCCGTCCTCCTCGCCATATATGGAGTGTTTCTGGCAATTATCTGAGTATATTCGCCTCCTCCAAGATGTCCACCGTGCCATTATTCTCTGTGAAGGTACATCAGACCTTCCAAAGATGGCGTCTTTGCCGTCTCGCTAAAAATAGTCACTTCCGGTTTCGTCCGGCTCCGATCACATGATCCGGCTCTGATCACGTGGTTAGAGAGGGCGTAGACATGTAGTTTATTATATGTCAATCATAGGAACAAAGTCCGTTTCATATCCAAATTATACAAAGATAAGAGAAAAAGGAAATGTGAATAATAACAATATGCAGAAAATAAACTAACAATATTCCATTTGGCAATATAAAATATAACAATATAGCAATAATTATATGTTTAAAAAATATAAAACTAGCAAGTATGCTTATAGTCCTTAAACCAAAGGTAAAAAGAGGGTAGAGGTAGAAGTTAAGTTGTAAAATAAATATAATCCTGTAACAATGAGTATAAAACATATAAAAATAATATATATAAAAATAGTATGTGTGATTATGACCCTTAAACCAAAAGTGAAAAAAGGTGGGATTAAGTTATAAAATTGGACCTATTTCAAAATCAATATTTAGAACTTTGGAGCATAATGTTTGAAGCTCATATATCCAATTTGATTCTTTCTTACTTAAATTAAAAGTACTATTAAAGGAAGTGATGTTAAAATTCTTTTTAGTTACATTCGATAAAAAAAATCTTTTTTTTCTTAGTTACATGGGTGTTTTTTCAGGTATAACAGTTGTCACAATGATGAAAGCCTTTTTGGGTTTTTGACCATTTTGTTGGAAAATAAAGGTTCTTATCCTTTTTCTCTATGTAATTTGAGCTTAAAATCTGCTAAAAAAAAATTCCCCCCCCTAAAAATTAAGTTAGGCTTCTCTCCTCTAAAATCATACATTTCATGTTCTTGCTGCAAGATGTGCCAGTTCTTATTCACAATTCTTTTTAATGTACCAACAATACTACAATAGTTAAAAATAAGTGGGATTTGCTTATCCTGATTATTGGTGTGTCTGTGTCTGGTGTAGTCTGCGTGCTTCCGATATCAACTATGTTGCTCCAAGAGCCAAACTACAAAAGCTCGGTATGACAAGGTGTGATGATCTATACCTTTGATGTACATTTATAATATAAATTAGTATATTAATAATTGTATTCACCACCTGTAAGCGTTCTCATTAATCCACAAATTATTTATACCTGAATCACATTTAAGGCACATACAAAACATTGCATAAAGGAATGTGATGCCTATAAAATACCTATAAAAGTAACCTTATTCTACTTGACTTGCTTCATATATAAGAAGGTTGAAGTCAAAGAGACACTTGCAGTTTACTTTCTTAAGAAGAAACATTTCCAATTCTTCGTATAACTCAATCAGAGATCAACATGAAGCATCAAGGCAGCTACTCCTCTTCTGGATCCCTCATGGTAGGCAACAGCTCTAGAGGCCATTGTTCCTCTGGTAGCATCTCTTCACTTCATCATGGAAGCTCCAATACACTTCACCATAAGAGCTTCAGCTGCTCTAATACTGGTGGTTCCTATAAATCATCCAGCCACCTTGGAGGAAACTCAAAACTATCTATCAGTTCATCTGCTGGTCTTGCACATGGAGGTGGAAGTGGCCATGGTGGCCTTAAAAGTAATCTCAAGAGTTCTAACAACCACGCTCATAACCTACTTCGTATTAATGAGAAAGATACAATGAGGGCTCTGAATGAGCGTCTTGCCTCCTATTTAGACAAGGTCCATTCGCTGGAGCAGGAGAATGCTGAGCTGGAAAGGAAGATATGTGAATGGTATGCAAACAATGCCCCAAGCTCACTCCCTGACTCCAGTGAGTACTATAGGACTATTCAGGAGCTACAGAACCAGGTAAAACAAGACATGTATGAGTTTATCTCCAATGTGGTCAGTTGTAGGATGATCTTACCTACAATGCATGTTTTAATGAGTTAAAGTAAACTTGCCATTCAATAAAATATCCAGACCAAAGTGTCTGCAAACCCTGAAAATACGACTGTAGACATGACTGTATAATAGAGATATAGAAATGTTAAATATTCTACAATATTTTATATACATTACATGAGAAAATATATTGTATACACTGCATACATTTCATTCTGACTTGACCTAAACCAATATATATGCCATTAAAGATTTCTTCTAATGTGGTTATTTGTTGGGTGATCCTACTTACAATGTATGTTTTAATGACTTACCTTCTTTATAAACGTACCATTCTGTAAAATAATTCTAGTCCTAAAAGCTCATGTAGAATTGACTGTATAATTGAGATACAGAGATGTTCAAAACTGTTTTATATAACTTATATAATAAAAAATGTTATATACACTATATAAATAGTAAGATGTTGTTACATTCAAGAATGCAGCATTTTAAATTCTGAACACAGGGCCTTAAAAATCGCATGTGGTTCAGCTTTTCTCAAATAGAAAATACAACATCAGTGTGTATAATCAACAGAACATTTTCTCATAACTTTGGTTATAGTCAAATATAGTTCACGGAGACCAAAATATTTAAGCAAAAGAAGTAATATAAATTATTTTTAGAGATTAATTGAGAATGACTTTGCTTACCAGATTTCTTCGGCGACAATTAACAGTGGAAGGATTGTCCTACAGATAGATAGCGCTCAACAAGCTTCAAATGACTTCAGAAGCAGGTAAGTCTATGAAGTTATGAGATTTAAAGGAACAAGTGAAGACTTTGCTTTATACAACTGTTGCAGCATATATATTGTAAAGGTGACTTTGTGTGGCAAAATATAAAGATAAACATATATTCATCAAGTATGGTGGTTAGTATTAAATGAATAATTAAAAAACACAATATAAAAAAAATCTAAAAAGCCCTAATTTCTCACAAACAAACCTATTTTTATATTGTTACAGCAAAACATTCAGCATAGAATTGTACATAACTTCAGTTTAATGAAAATTATCTTGAGTCAACGATGAGGTCTACCAGCACTGCAGTAACTGCTTTAGTAATGTTCTTACTAAGTTTTCGGTTGAGGAAAGTTAGTGCAGTAGCTGTAAACTTTCTTATGTGTTCTATTAAGGTGTCTGTTATGTTTGATTGTACGACCATAGGTTAGAAGATAGTGTTGACCTTTATGGTAGACTATTGGCTAATTTAGGATTATCAAGGCATTATAATTTATCCATAACTATTTATCTATATTGTTGCATGCCGTGTAATCACAATACAATATATTGTAAATACCGTTACACAATCCTTTGCTAACTGCACATGGCATTGCCGTAGTTATCATGAAGCTGCGTTTTTGTCATGTTATTCCACACCGGAAAAAATACTTTCAACCTGCGTTAAATTGAAAAGTGATAAAGAGTTGATGCCATGCCTATTCTCAGAATTGATTATTTAATATAGTGTGCTCTTTTATTATTATTATTATAAATTTAGGTGTGAGATGGAGATAAACACAAGGAACAATGTGGATGGAGATACTGGTTCTTTGAGAAGAGTCTTACAACAAATTAACAATGAAGTGCAAACCTTATCCGGAGAAGTCCAATGTCTCCAGCAAGAACTTTTCCAGATGAGGAACAACCATTCAGGGGTAAAGTGGAAATATGTCAATGGCCTATTATTATAATTTATTAAAACACTACTGAGAACAAAGATGTATTTGGAATAATTACAGGACTTCAAATGTCAAGTCATAAGCTACTAGCCAGGCCTCAAAAGTTTTTTTGCCACTGCAGCCTAGAGAATCCTTGGCACTTTTACCATTAGTTACTTTGTACGATGCAGGGCTAAATTTTTACTACGAATGTAATTTTTTTCCATTAATTAATAAAAGTTAACAGTTTTGGGGATCTCTTTCTTGCATACATCGTGAGTGTTTGTTTACACATTGAAACCTAAGGGTTATTTATTTCTTTATAAATTACTTTAAAATTTTTCTTTCACTTCTTACCCTAGTTCTTTGTCTTTTTCAAAGGAAGTGGATGGTCTGCGTGCTCAGCTTGGAACCAGAGTCAACGTAGAAATGAATGCTGCTCCATCCATCGACCTGAACAGAGCTCTATCTGAGCTCAGAGAAGAATATGAAAATATGATGGAGAGGAACCTCAGGGAAGTCGAGGGCATGTTCTTGGCAAGGGTAATTCTAACCATAATATAATGGAGCAACTAGCTGACAGTAAACTATAACACTAAAACTATAGACCCATACCAGATTGGTAAGAACAGTATTATATTTTTACATGAAATTTTTTTTTCTTGCAGAGTGCAGAACTGGACCGTGAGATGTCTTTAGGAGCCGTACAATTGCAGTCAGTTAATAATGATATCATTGATTCAAAGCGGTCTTTACAGACCCTGGAGATCGACTTGCAGAGCCAGCTAAGTATGGTATGTCAGCATGAATTAAAATATGTAAACATATATAAAGCAAAACCATGACTATATTCCACATTTGCTGTTTTAATTGGTTCTAATAATGCTTTATTGACTACAAAGTCACTTGTGCCAGTCTTTAGTTTAAGAAAGTTTACCCTTGGCAATTTTTTATGTCTCCAAGTTGGAGATTAACAATAGTACAATAATATGATGTAAAAAATAAATCCATGAATAAAGGATCATATACTTATTTAGTTCAGTAATATTGCTGTGTCATCATTGGCAGAAATCAGCTCTAGAGGGCACCTTATCAGAGACGGAGGCAACGTTTGGTTCTCAGCTCTCCCAGTTACAATGCATGATTGATAACATTGAAGGTCAGCTGACACAGATCCGATCTGACCTAGAACAACAGAATCATGAATACCAAGTTCTCATGGACCAGAAGACCCATCTAGAGATGGAAATCAACACCTATAGACATCTGCTGGATGGACATGACATTCAGTGCGTATTACAATTTTTTGTCAAATTTAGTTGTTAAGTATTCAGATCAAAAAAGGAGAAGAAAAACGAAATAATGCTGGTTTAAGTGTAGTCATCATTATACAGTCTATGATGGAAACGTTGACAAAACCTGGCTATTGATATATCTTAATATTCATGTATAACACCAATACACGGGGCACTTACCTACATTAATGAGTATACAGTCACAAGTGAGCATAATAAACACTAGAATATTTTAAATGAATTAGCTTATAGAACATAACATAAAATATAATATTTGTAACTGAGGTGGGCAGTTAAATGTTTATATTAATTGAATAGATGAGATAGGTGACTGAGGGAGACAACTAAGGAGGAGATAATTATTGGTCGTAAATAAATTACAAAATGGGGTTTCACAGAAGGTATATGTGCATAGATGGGTTTTGGGGTACATAAAATTATAAATGAGGTGGCTGATTAGATAGTTTGTTTTAATATTAGGGTTTAGAAGGAAGAAGATGTGCAACTAGGAAGAATCCAGGAAGTTGGTGGTAAGGATGTAAATAAAGCAGAGATGATGAGCGTAGTTTACATAGTAGATTAATAAGAAGACGAAGGGAAGTGCAACATACTAATCAGAAGTGGCCAAAACATAGATCCCCATCTGTTACATAACCACAGATCACATGTTGCTTTACTAATTGTAAGGTTGACAGTGCATCATTGAGATTATATGTCCGCAATACCTTTTTTAGAGGGATTTTTTTTTAATAGTTAAAGCATTATTAATTAGTTTATTAGTAATCCTGGATGCATATTACGAAGTATGAAGTACTAAGTACCGAAGAATGTTGATGTTAAGGCAATATAATATGTGCTGCTCTATATTACAGTTAATTTCACCTAAGGTAATTGTGTATTTTTGATAAAAAAATATAATACACACCTCTCTCATATCAGTTCTTCTAAACATTTCTAAATCTTTTCACAGTATTGCCGATCATACCAGTTCTGGAGGTGAGTAATATACATCACAATAAAAAAAATACAGTTACAACGAAAATGCTTAGCTATGTATTGCAATGATATATGATATTTCTAAACCTTGCTTATTGATCCAACTGTTATACAGTATATAGGGAATCAACACAGTAAAGGAGGAGACTATATTTAAAAGAAGAAAAACTACCACAACAAGAGGACATAGTCTTAAATTAGAGTGACAAAGGTTTAAAAAGAATATCCGGAAGTATTACTTTACTGAGAGGATAGTGGATGCATGGAATAGCCTTCCAGCTGAAGTGGTAGAGGTTAACACAGTAAAGGAGTTTAAGCATGCGTGGGATAGGCATAAGGCTATCCTAACTATAAGATAAGGCCAGGGACTAATGAAAGTATTTAGAAAATTGGGCAGACTAGATGGGCCGAATGGTTCTTATCTGCCGTCACATTCTATGTTTCTATGTTTCTATTACTTTCTTAAGATTTAATCAACCCAAAAATAAAAGATGTAATAAAGTCTGTGTGCCCATCTAATTTTTCCACGTCTGCTCTATTCTAGCATCCCATCACAACAAGTGCAAGTAATGGCCGTGTGCTTCTCAGTAAGCTCTTGATGCCTCTCTAGAAAAATAATAACATGAATTGAAATCATTATGAAATCAACTTCTCTGGAATTAGCAATCTGCCTTTATTGTCTTTCTTTAATTCCCTTTCCATTTCTAAACTGATACTGATTAAATGCAAGTGAAAATCCAACACAAAATATATTAGCTATGTGTACAAGTAAAACTGATATTGTTCTGAATTATTGGACACTGTTTGTGTCATATTGTTCCTGAAAAAAATAGAACTCATCTACAGCTTGTATATCAATACAATATTTACAATGACTTTATGCAGCTTTATCGAAGGATGGTGTTGAGTGGTTTGCCTGGCAAATATTATATGAAAGAACATTTGAATTTCCAAGTACTGAAAGCATTTTATAACTGTTTCACGAAATTATAATTCTAAGACAATGTTGATCGGCTGTATAATTTTTGTAAACTAGTATTTTACTAATATTGTAAAGCGCTGCGGATTACGTGGGCGCTATATAAATGCCAAATATAATAATGAAATAATAATAATATATTTATCGTTTGGATTTATGTTTTGTGGGAACTTTTGGACTGTATTGTAATTACAACTTTATTGTAACTGAATCTACAATTCTTTAAAAATAAATAATTTTTCTTTGTCTTCTGCAAACCCGGTGGTGTATTTGTATTTTGTATTACGAAAGCTAAAAGCTGTTGGATTCTCAGCTTTTCAAATTTTTTAGAATTGAATTGCCTGAATTTAGCTAGTAATATTTGTTTTCACTACTGTTTGGAGTTGAATGAATAAACCCCTAAAACCCACACACATTATTGCACTGCTGGAAGAATAAAACACAAACTATAGTCAGTTTCTGAAAATATATTTACTGTGCTAAGAATTACAATTAAGACAGATCAACTTTAAATGTTAAGAATATTTATAGTGTACAAAACAAACAAATAAACAACAACAACAAAAAACAAATCTACCTCCACTACAGGCAATGTAGACTGTGAAATGTACAACATCTTGGAAACATTGTAAAAAAGAGTTTATTGGTTTGATATTTTTGAGAACGGCTAATGTAGGTATTCACAAAAGTCAGAATTCAAAGTGAATTTAGAATTTAAGGCTAAAATCCCCCCAACTGGACACTTGCTGTGAATCCAGTTTGGTTACTTTGGCCTAACATTTGAAATCCATTCACTTTGAATTCTCACATTTGGGAATAACCCTGTAAGAGTAACTAAATAACGTAGGAATTCATGAATTGCAGATATACAAACAAAGCATATTTTAATTTTGTAAGCATCACTTTATCGGGTATCGATTTGGTTAAATGTGACAACATTCTCTAAAATATCATTTTAATTCTAAGAAAAAAAAAAGTCTGTTTATATTACCAATATATAAAATTAATTTGTGATGATAAATATAAAAATATATTAAAAAAATATATATAATTTGAGAACGACATACTTGGTTTGTATAGTTATATTTATGTGTTTTAGTGTTGCATGGGAGAGCAGCACATTGTTTTGGTCTCTGCTGTGGCTCACCTAATAGAAATAGGTGGAGACCTATCATCAAGCCCCTACTTCAGGGATAGGAACCCTTTGACATTCCATATGACGTGCACTACATCTCCCGTAATACTCCTACAGCCATGATGCTGGCAAAGCACCAGGGGGATGTAGTCCGCAACATCTGAAGTGCTGAAGGATGTCTATCCCTACTTAGTATCTTAGGGTCACAGGTGACCTAAAAATGTTATTCCTTTATTATGTTTTCTTAATAAAGGGACAAATGTCTTTGTCAGTGTGATGAAGCCACATGGCTCTCTCTAATTTCTCTAACAGCTTACAGCAAATATATGTACTGACAACATGGAAAATAAGTCAGTCACACATTGGACTGCATGAATGAACGATGGTAACTGAAAAGAATATTATTGCCAACTTCTAATCAATGAAAACAACAAAAATCCAAAGGAAGCATCATATGTTGCATGGGCACCTTTGATGCATGTTGGGAAATGATAATGGGTATCTTCAAAACGTTTTGGCCCATACTAGTGTTATGGGCAAATGCAAATATTACAAGTTTTAGAATGAAATGTTGTATTTCTTAAACTGTGTACTTTGTTTTTAAGAGATATTGCAAACTGACAAGGTGTTAGAAATGGAACATATTGTTTTTCATAGATGTTTCTTTAAACAATAACCTCTTACCTACCTACAGTGCATAATATGTTTGCGCCATTTTGTCCCAGACTAATTAAAAAAACAATAATGCATAAGCAAGCTTCAAGTCTATGCTACGACTCTTTCAGTATGCAATATACTGTGGTAACCTTAGTAGATAAGGATGTTCAGATTAAGATGGCATCTTGAACTAAGTCAGGAAAATTTCCATGACATATGCACCCTTTAGATATGGCCTTGTATGTTTGCCAAATTAAGGGAGGTCCTAAAATGAATAAAGTAAAAGAAGTGTTACTTTTTCATATATGAACTATGGTAACCCTAAAATGGAGACACCTAAGGTATAAATAGGTGTACTTTTAAATGTTAAGGAACAGAGGAGAGACTTGGAGACAGACGCAGCTCCATCTTAAAATGACAGAGAGGCTGGCATGATGACATGTTCAGAAGGGTATGAAGGGTATGTTAACCTATTAATGATATTTGGTTTAATCTTATAAACTCTGCTATAATGGATTTTATATATCTATATTTATATTTTTATATAATAAATACCAAAAAGACAAAACTTTATTGCTTCCAAGACAATCCTTATTTTATATTGTATTCTCAATTATTTATATATGTTAAATAGAGGATCTCTTACACTAATGATATAAAATTATAGCTAAGATATCTGTATGGTTAGCCCTGCTAAGTTCTATGCTTTAAGACCTTATAGAGGTAAATAAGGGAGCCAGCCGCGGTTACACTAGTATCAGATAGACACCTTAAGGATGTCGTGACACCTCATCCATCTATTACGGAATGCAGATGGAGAAATTTGAGAAACCTTTTGTTACCCAGTCATCTCCCCGCTAGTGCCACCTCAGGTCACCCTAAAAAATACTTACCAGCGAGCGATCACACTCTTTCTTTAGTTGTTGCACCATTGGAATAGTCTATTTACTGACATGTTCTTGTGGCCTGATGTATGCGGGTAAGACATTTTGCCTATTTAAATACAGAATCCAGGAACACATTAATTCAATATGGAGACGTCTGGAAACCCCAATTTCCAGGCATCTACATCACCATCATGACCACTCCTCAGCTCTTATTTATGAGTCTGGAACATGTACCTCAACCAACTCGTAAAGGGGTTGGTACATTACACTTTGTCAGAGAGAGGCATTCTGGATTTATAGGTCAAAAACACTATCGCCACTTAAATAAAGGGTTTTCTTACTCCCCCTTCATATGATACAGGGACTGATTCTGTGACTATGTGGGTTTTTATTGTAAGCTAGTATGCTATACAACAATTGTTGTCTAAACCTTTTTTAACCTTTTTAGTTTCTTGCACTTTTTAATTGGTGTCTTTAATCACTAATTTTGCTCTCATCTAAATATGTATAATGATGACTGACTACTTGTGACGTTATAGTAGTTCATGTATTCTTCAGTGGCTCTTTATACCACTTTATGTAACATTTATTATAGATACTAAACTTACAGCTATACTTATGATTACATGTGGGAGGTACCTTCTAATGGGTCAACCCACGTTGGCACTATTCATCCATAATGCATTCACCCATCATGTATTCCTCTTGTGCCTGCCTTATAATCATTTCAAGTAATGGTATTAACCCTTCTTTACAGCTAACTAGGACATAATATAACTTTCTTTTCGTTGTGGTATAAACAAGGGTATAAAATATTATGGTAACTGCCCGCTATGTATGTTGGTTTGCAGCAATCGCATGTGGGCGGTGTTGATGATGGGATGTCTCATGCCATTACTATTGAACACACCCACTCTGCGCACGTCACGGATGCTGCCCACGTCCCACGTTGGGTCGGACCTATGACGCTGCATACTGACGTCTCCTGTGCAGACAGTTTGATATGGGTGAATGGATGCTGCTTTCCTGTAATGGGTAATGTGAACAAATATTGCCTAATTGGCCTACAGCTATGCTAGTCACAGGTGTTGACTGCCTATTGGCGGTCTTCCCAACCCCATTGATTATACACCACCCAATTAGGTCTGGCTACACTTCAAGTAAGGGGATTGGATGAGACATCTTTGTGCACCGCCCCCTGACCAGCTGATTCTGTTATGGCTCATTGTTTATATGGTATTCAAACAGACTACTGGATGAGACAGACTACTTTGCCCCTGACGACGGTATTGTACCACACCGAAACGCACGTCAGGCTCTTTTACTATTTTTAATTATGCACTTATTTTCACGTTAGGTAGCACTTCGCCTTTTCTTTGAGTTATCTCTTCAGGGTCTATGGTTTAGGTAGGCACTAGCCTAGTGTGGTGCTGAGGTATTAGGGACAGAGTATTTTTGTGGGGTATGATGTGTACCTATTATTGATTTTCTAGCAGTGGAGTAATTCTGCTCTTCGTATACTCAGCTCTTTATCTACAATTTTCGCTGGATGAGAAATTTCATTCTTTCTGAGTGATATGCAGACAATTCCCTTGTGTCCCCATTTAGCCTTTGATAGTACCTGTATATTAGCATGATATCTAACCAGAGTGGAGTTACTTTTGTGTCTCTCATCTGTCCTATAGGGCTAACCTCTACCTGGCATTCAGACACTGTCTTTCCTATTTAGGACCCTAGTTAGATATAGTGGCTCTAAGTTATAGTCTTAATAAAGGTTTTTAATTCAATTTATTTTGGTTTTGCTACTATACTATTTTAGGTTGTACTCTTTCTCATACTGCCTCTCTGTTGGGAGTGGATGAGTGAATGATAGCTAGTGCCTGCATGTAATGCAAAATAAATGAAAGGGTGGTCATTTAACGATGAGTTTATCAAGCAGGCTTGGGGGTTTCCTCTTCAGTCTACCCACACGGGTACAGGAATGTGCAAATTATACAGTATATCAGAATCAGAAATAGTGAAACTCTCTATACCAGTGGTCTCAATTCAAATTACTTGGGGGTCACTGGCCTAGTAATCCTTTCACATGAGGGCAGCTTGTAAAAATCACAAATCACAAAATTGCAAAGAAACACAAGTAACCACAGCCGGTTCCCCTATTTACCACTATAATGTCAGGGCTAACCACACAGATATCTTAGCCATAATATTATATAGTTTGTAAGAGTTTCTCTATTTAAAATATATAAATAATTGAGAATTCAATATAAAGACAGAGACAAGCCCATAATTGTATGGGGAACTGAACGTAACGACAGAAGGCTAAGTGAGGCCTTGTGAAATTGAGGTAATCGTAACGAGTAAGATTTCAGTACCTGATACTGTATGTCAGGAACAAGGTCGACAATCCATATATTTAAATGTGGTAATTTGACGGCAAAGACACGCGGCCATCTTTGGAAGGTCTGATGTACCTTTATAGAGAATAATGGCATGGTGGACATCTTGGAGGAGGAGAATATACTCAGATGATTGCCAGAAACACTCCATATATGGCAAAGAGGATGGACCATCAATCCACAGCTGTTAATATTTGTAATGTAATTATATTTATTATGTATACTATATAAGAAGGTTGTGGCACTAGTTATGATATGCACCTGAGGGAGACCTATTGCATTAGGTCGAAACGCGTTGTGCTCTATTTTATTTTATTTTGTTTCAATAAAAGTATTTACCTTTTATCCACTTGGCAACCTGGTTCCTGATTTTTATAAGAAAGAAGACTCCAGATATCTTCCAAGGGACTTAAAAGCTCAAATCCACATCTGATTGATGTATCTACCTCTACAGTTTAGAGCCAACTCAGAAAGGCTCTAAATATTGTGAGTTTTTCCAAGTTTTATATGATTGTATTTGTATTGAGATGTATTACCAATAGTGTCACTGGATAATTCCCTCAGTAAAACACCCGAATCCCCAAACAGCAGCCGTAGTCAGAAGAAGGGTACAAAGATGAACTAAAGATTTATTGATAGACACTCTCTTTTTATGGGATTCTGCCCATTCAAGGGAGACTCCCCCATAATTAACAATACAGCCAATCATGACAATATACATACTGTACATCTTCTCCCCTCAGATAACCAATTAACACAATTAAAACGGAACACATTTTCCCCAAAGTCTGGATGTACCCCAGATAGCTGAACTCTGGGGGACCAACATATTAAAGAATCCGCCCATTCGGTTCAGCCGTTCGGGAGATATGGGACTTATAAGTTTTGACCGACTGCACGGGCAAAGTAGCCGAAAACAGTTCCACAAATTCTGGCCCTGCAGTCGGTCTCAGGTCGCGTGTAAAAACTACCGAACGGCCGGCTATCCAGATGCCATCCTGGGTTCGCTGAAATACCCATCCGTTAGTAAGTCTTTCTACCGAATTCCCGGTCATTCTGTAGTTTTGGCGGGGTTCTCCCGAAGGTATGGAGGATTCAGCGGTGTTCGTCTGTTTGAGTGTCCGATTTCAGTTCCAGACACTCGACGGCAAACACCACTGTTGGGGAGTTAAAATGGCCGCGAACACGTGGAAGTCCCGAAATGGCGGCTATGCATACAGTTCGTGCGGGACTTTCGACGAACATGCCCATCAAGCTGGGGGGTAAAATACTCTTAATTGGAAACAGGGTGGTTGTGATTTGGTAGTTTTATCTACCGAATGCCATAGGGGTACATAACAGAAAACAAGGTAATGCAAATTGTCACTTTGAAGCAAAATAGGGGGATTTCTTCACATACGGTAACCCTAAAATGGAGACACCTAAGGTATAAATAGGTGTACTTTTAAATGTTAAGGAACAGAGGAGAGACTTTGAGACAGACGCAGCTCCATCTTAAAATGACAGAGAGGCTGACATGATGACATGTTCAGAAGGATATGAAGGGTATGTTAACCTATTAATGATATTTGCAAGCATTTAGTTTAATCTTATAAACTCTGGTATAATGGATTTTATATGTCTATATTTATATTTTTATATAATAAATACCAAAACAATCCTTATTTTATATAGTATTCTCAATTATTTATATATGTTAAATATTCATGTGTTCCTCGTGAAAAAAAAAATATATATTTTTTTTTTATTCATTTGGCTGTCAACTTTCAAGTTCCTTATTCTTGTGCTGCAAGTGAAGAACTATTTATTTCAGCCACTTTTTATTTGTTTTATTGTTGTCCATCTGTCACTATCTCAACAAATATATAATCCCTTTGATCAGTTCATTCAAATCTGAGTCTGGTGTAGTCTGCGTGCATCGGATATCAACTAAGTTGCTCCAAGAGCCAAACTACAAAAGCTCGGTATGACAAGGTGTGATGATCTATACCTTTGATGTACATTTATAATATAAATTAGTATATTAATAATTGTATTCACCACCTGTAAGCGTTCTCATTAATCCACAAATTATTTATACCTGAATCACATTTAAGGCAGATATAAAATATTGCATAAAGGAATGTGATGCCTATAAAATACCTATAAAAGTAACCTTTTTCTACTTAACTTGCTTCATATATAAGAAGGTTGAAGTCAAAGAGACACTTGCAGTTTACTTTCTTAAGAAGAAACATTTCCAATTCTTTGTTTAACTCAATCAGAGATCAACATGAAGCATCAAGGCAGCTACTCTTATTCTGGATCCCTCATGGTAGGCCACAGCTCTAGAGGCCATTGTTCCTCTGGTAGCATCTCTTCACTTCATCATGGAAGCTCCAATACACTTCACCATAAGAGCTTCAGCTGCTCTAATACTGGTGGTTCCTATAAATCATCCAGCCACCTTGGAGGAAACTCAAAACTATCTATCAGTTCATCTGCTGGTCTTGCACATGGAGGTGGAAGTGGCCATGGTGGCCTTACAAGTCATCTCAAGAGTTCTAACAACCACGCTCATAACCTACTTCGTATTAATGAGAAAGATACAATGAGGGCTCTGAATGAGCGTCTTGCCTCCTATTTAGACAAGGTCCATTCGCTGGAGCAGGAGAATGCTGAGCTGGAAAGGAAGATATGTGAATGGTATGCAAACAATGCCCCAAGCTCACTCCCTGACTCCAGTGAGTACTATAGGACTATTCAGGAGCTACAGAACCAGGTAAAACAAGACATGTATGAGTTTATCTCCAATGTGGTCAGTTGTAGGATGATCTTATCTACAATGCATGTTTTAACGAGTTAAAGTAAACTTGCCATTCAATAAAATATCCAGACCAAAGTGTCTGCAAACACTGAAAATACGACTGTAGACATGACTGTATAATAGAGATATAGAAATGTTAAATATTCTACAATATTTTATATACATTACATGAGAAAATATATTATATACACTGCATACATATCATTCTGACTTGACCTAAACCAATATATATGCCATTAAAGATTTCTTCTAATGTGGTTATTTGTTGGGTGATCCTACTTACAATGTATGTTTTAATGACTTACCTTCTTAATAAACGTACCATTCTGTAAAATAATTCTAGTCTTAAAAGCTCATGTAGAATTGACTGTATAAATTAGATACAGAGATGTTCAAAACTTATATAATAAAAATTGTTATATTCACTATATAAATAGTATGATGTTGTTACATTCAAGAATGCAGCATTTCAAATTCTGAACACAGAGCCTTAAAAATCTCATGTGGTTCAGCTTTTCTCAGATAGAAAATATAATATCAGTGTGTATAATCAACAGAACATTTTCTCATAACTTTAGTTATAGTCAGATATAGTTCACGGAGACCAAAATGTTTAAGCAAAAGAAGTAATATAAATTATTTTTAGAGATTAATTGAGAATGACTTTGCTTACCAGATTTCTTTGGCGACAATTAAAAGTGGAAGGATTGTCCTACAGATAGACAGCGCTCAACAAGCTTCAGATGACTTCAGAAGCAGGTAAGTCTATGAAGTTATAAGAGTTAAAGAGATAAGTGAAGACTTTGCTTTATACAACTGTTGCAGCATATATATTGTAAAGGTGACTTTGTGTGGCAAAATATAAATATAAACATATATTCATCAAGTATGGTGGTTAGTATTAAATGAATAATTAAAAAAACAATATTAAAAAAAATCTAAAAAGCTCTCATTTCTCACAAACAAACCTATTTTTATATTGTTACAGCAAAACATTCAGCATAGAATTATATATAACTTCAGTTTAATGAAAATTCTCTCAAGTCAACGATGAGGTCTACCAGCACTGAAGTAACTGCTCTAGTAATGTTCTTACTAAGTTTTCGGTTGAGGAAAGTTAGTGCAGTAGCTGTAAACTTTCTTATGTGTTCTATTAAGGTGTCTATTATGTTTTATAGTAAGCATTAGTTTTGTCTAGTATGGTTTTAACTGTTAGAAGCCATAAGTTCTTTGGTGGATTTTCTTTTGTTGTCTGTGTCTTTGTTTTTCTTAAATGTCCACTTTGTAAAATAGACTGAGTTCCGACCATAGGTTAGAAGATAGTGTTGACCTTTATGGTAGACTATTGGCTAATTTAGGATTATCAAGGCATTATAATTTATCCATAACTATTTCTCTATATTGTTGCATGCCGTGTAATCACAGTACAATATATTGTAAATACCTTTATGCAATCCTTTACTAACTGCACATGGCATTGCCGTAGTTATCATGAAGCTGCGTTTTTGTCATGTTATTCCACACCGGAAAAAATACTTTCAACCAGCGTTAAATTGAAAAGTGATAAAAAGGTGATGCCATGCCTATTCTCAGAAATGATTATATAATATAGTGTGCTCTTTTATTATTATTATTATCAATTTAGGTGTGAGATGGAGATAAACACAAGGAACAATGTGGATGGAGATACTGGTTCTTCCAGAAGAGTCTTACAACAAATTAACAATGAAGTGCAAACCTTATCCGCAGAAGTCCAAGGTCTCCAGCAAGAACTTTTCCAGATGAGGAACAACCATTCAGGGGTTAAGTGGAAAGATGTCAATGGCCTATTATTATAATTTATTAAAACACTACTGAGAACAAAGATGTTTTTGGAATAATTACAGGACTTCAAATGTCAAGTCGTAAGCTACTAGCCAGGCCTCAACAGTTTTTTGCCACTGCAGCCTAGAGAATCCTTGGCACTTCTACCAGTGGTAACTTTGTACGATGCAGGGCTAAATTTTTACTCCGAATGTCCAGTTAATTTGTTTCCATTAATTAATAAAAGTGAACAGTTTTGGGGATCTCTTTCTTGCATACATCGTGAGTGTTTGTTTACACATTCAAACCTAAGGGTTATTTATTTCTTTATAAATTACTTTAAAATCTTTCTTTCACGTCTTACACTAGTCCTTTGTCTTTTTCAAAGGAAGTGGATGGTCTGCGTGCTCAGCTTGGAACCAGAGTCAACGTAGAAATGAATGCTGCTCCATCCATCGACCTGAACAGAGCTCTATCTGAGCTCAGAGAAGAATATGAAAATATGATGGAGAGGAACCTCAGGGAAGTCGAGGGCATGTTCTTGGCAAGGGTAATTCTAACCATAATATCATGGAGCAACTAGCTGACAGTAAACTATAACACTATAACTATAGACCCATACCAGATTGGTAAGATCAGTATTATATTTTTACGTGAAATTTTTTTTTCTTGCAGAGTGCAGAACTGGACCGTGAGATGTCTTTAGGAGCCGTACAATTGCAGTCAGTTAATAATGATATCATTGATTCAAAGCGGTCTTTACAGACCCTGGAGATCGAGCTGCAGAGCCACCTAAGTATGGTATGTCAGCATGAATTAAAATATGTAAACACATATAAAGCAACACCATGACTATATTCCGCATTTGCTGTCTTAATTGGTTCTAATAATGCTTTATTGACTACAAAGTCACTTGTGTCAGTCTTTAGATTAAGAAAGTTTACCCTTGGCAATTTTTTATGCCTCCAAGTTGTGCCAATAATAGTAACTGCACTTGTGTCTTTTAAATGATGTGCATTTTATATTAGTAATAATTCTGGAGATAAAATAAAATCCTTTTATAATATGATATTTAACAAGTCCTGCTATTTTTGGAGGTTGACTACATACAGTTTGGTTTAATTGTGTTTTCGATGATGACCTTTTAGTTTATGCTGAATGCTTTCCCGAGAAATGTTTCCATTGCTGTATAGGAAATTATATCTCATTCATATATAAAAGATTAAAGGCATGTTGAATGTTAACTCTCAATTTTAAGAGTTACTTAATGCGTTTGCACTGAATCTCCCAATATTTCTGGGTGAGCATTTTATTAGACAACACACAAATGTATCAATGTGTAGTGGTGGTACTCGTCAACCTTTACTTTCAACATTTGTGATCTATTGTGAGTACACTACAATATATCCAACCATTGACACACAACACAAAGAAGCAAAGCCAGCTATTTTAACTAATATCATCATGATGGAATATGGGAATTTTTTGAACTTTTAAATATATTAACAATAGTACAATAATATGATGTAAAAAATAAATCCCTGAATAAAGGATCATATTCTTATTTAGTTAAGTAATATTGCTGTGTCATCATTGGCAGAAATCAGCTCTAGAGGGCACATTATCAGAGACGGAGGCAACGTTTGGTTCTCAGCTTTCCCAGTTACAATGCATGATTGATAACATTGAAGGTCAGCTGACACAGATCCGATCTGACCTAGAACAACAGAATCATGAATACCAAGTTCTCATGGACCAGAAGACCCATCTAGAGATGGAAATCAACACCTATAGACATCTGCTGGATGGACATGACATTCAGTGCGTATTACAATTTTTTGTCAAATTTAGTTGTTAAGTATTCAGATCAAAAAAGGAGAAGAAAAATGAAATAATGCTGGTATAAGTGTAGTCATCATGATGGAAAAGTTGACAAAACTTGGCTATTGATATATCTTCATATTCATGTATAACACCAATACATGGGGCACTTACCTACATTAATGAGTATACAGTCACAAGTGAGCTTAATAAACACTAGAATATTTTAAATGAATTAGCTTATTGAACATAACGTAAAACATAATATTTGTAACTGAGGTGGGCAGTTAAATGTTTATATTAATTGAATAGATGAGATAGGTGGCTGAGGGAGACAACTAAGGAGGAGATAATTATTGGTCGTAAATAAATTACAAAATGGGGTTTCACAGAAGGTCATATACCTTCTGTGAAACCACATTTTGTAATTTATTTACGACCAATAATTAGATGGGTTTTGGGGTACATAAAATTATAAATGAGGTGGCTGATTAGATAGTTTGTTTTAATATTAGGGTTTAGAAGGAAGAAGATGTGCAACTAGGAAGAATCCAGGAAGTTGGTGGTAAGGATGTAAATAAAGCAGAGATGATGAGCGTAGTTTACGTAGTAGATTAATAAGAAGACGAAGGGAAGTGCAACATGCTAATCAGAAGTGGCCAAAACATAGATCCCCACCTGTTACATAACCACAGATCACATGTTGCTTTACTAATTGTAAGGTTGACAGTGAAACATTGGGATTATATGTCCGCAATAGCTGGGCATCCAGTTTCTGGATGCACCTTTTTTAGAGGGATTTTTTTTAATAGTTAAAGCATTATTAATTAGTTTATTAGTAATCCTGAACGCATATTACGAAGTATGAAGTACTAAGTACTGAAGAATGTTGATGTTAAGGCAACACAATATGTGCTGCTCTATATTACAGTTAATTTCACCTAAGGTAATTGTGTATTTTTGATAACAAATATAATACACACCTCTCTCATATCAGTTCTTCTAAACATTTCTAAATCTTTTCACAGTATTGCCAATCATACCAGTTCTGGAGGTGAGTTATATACATCACAATAAAAAAATTACATTTGCAACGAAAATACTTAGCTATGTATTGCAATGATATTTGATATTTCTAAACCTTGCTTATTGATCCAACTGTTATACAGTATAAAGGGAATTAACACAGTAAAGGAGGAGACTATATTTAAAAGAAGAAAAACTACCACAACAAGAGGACATAGTCTTAAATTAGAGGGCAAAGGTTTAATAATAATATCCGGAAGTATTACTTTACTGAGAGGGTAGTTGATGCATGGAATAGCCTTCCAGTTGAAGTGGTAGAGGTTAACACAGTGAAGGAGTTTAAGCATGTGTGGGATAGGCATAAGGCTATCCTAACTATAAGATAAGGCTAATGAAAGTATTTAGAAAATTGGGCAGACTAGATGGGCCGAATGGTTCTTATCTGCCGTCACATTCTATGTTTCTATGTTTCTATTACTTTCTTAAGATTTAATCAACCCAAAAATAAAAGATGTAATAAAGTCTGTGTGCCCATCTAATTTTTCCACGTCTGCTCTGTTCTAGCATCCCATCACAACAAGTGCAAGTAATGGCCGTGTGCTTCTCAATAAGCTCTTGATGCCTCTCTAGAAAAAGAATAACATGAATTGAATCATTATGAAATCAACTTCTCTGGAATTAGCAATCTGCCTTTATTGTCTTTCATTAATTCCCTTTCCATTCCTAAACTGATACTGATTAAATGCAAGTGAAAATCCAACACAAAATATATTAGCTATGTGTACAAGTAAAACTGATATTGTTCTGAATTATTGGACACTGTTTGCGTCATATTGTTCCTGAAAAAAATAGAACTCATCTACAGGTTGTATATCAATGCAATATTTACAATGACTTTATGCAGCTTTATCGAAGGATGGTGTTGAGTGGTTTGCCTAGCAAATATTATATGAAAGAACATTTGAATTTCCAAGTACTGAAAGCATTTTATAACTGTTTCACGAAATTATAATTCTAAGACAATGTTGATCGGCTGTATATTTTTTTGTAAACTAGTATTTTACTAATATTGTAAAGCACTGCGGATTACGTGGGCGCTATATAAATGCCAAAAATAATAATGAAATAATAATAATATATTTATCGTTTGGATTTAAGTTTTGTGGGAACTTTTGGACTGTATTGTAATTACAACTTTATTGTAACTGACTCTACAATTCTTATAAAATAAATCATTTTTCTTTGTCTTCTGCAAACCCGGTGGTGTATTTGTATTTTGTATTATGAAAGCTATATTTACTGTGCTAAGAATTACAATTAAGACAGATCAACTTTAACCCCTTAAGACCGGAGGGCGTACAATTATGCCCTATTTTAGGCGGCTCTAAACGCCGCCGGGCGTAATTGTACGCCCTCCGGTCTTTTCTTACTTACTCGGTAGATCCTCTTCCTCCGGTGCCCCTCGGCCATGTGAGAGTGAGGTCCTTGCGAGGACCCCACAATCACATGGCCGGGGGTAGCTGCCTTCTGCATTGCCAGCAGGGGGGCTGCCTGTAATGACAGGTGGTCCCCCTGCTGGCTTGAAATGAAATTAAAATAAATTAATTAAAAAGTAAAGTGTAAAAATATATATATATATATATATATTCTTAGATCATATATATAGTATATATATATGATCTAAGTATATATATATACACATATACATACACACACATACACTGTCTAGGTGTATTTTACTATGTATATATATAATTATATATATATTAATATCAAATTACACGTAGACTGTTACTGAATAAATATATATATAATTATTGTTATATATATATGTATATATAATATAAAAAAATTAAATATGTAAATATATTAAAAAATAAAATTAAAAATATAATTAAAAAAAAAAAATTAAAAAATATATAGATGTGTTATTTCGTTCAAACTGTATTGTGATATTAATATATATATATATATATATATTTATATCAAAATACACGTAGAACGAAATTATATATATCTACATACATAATTATATACGTATACATCACTATATATATCTATATATAAATAAAAATATTTTAAAAAAATTAAATATATATACACATATAGATTCACATACGTATATATATACATATATTAATTCTACATATATATTTATGTAATTTTATGGTGTTTTCAAAAGTTACAGCGTCAAATATAAGGCTTGCGTTTCATTTTTTTCACATTAAAATTCGCCAGATTGGTTACGGTGCCTTTGAGACCCTATGGTAGCCCAAAAATGAAAATTACCCCTATGATGGCATACCATTTGCAATAGTAGACAACCCAAGGTATTGCAAACAGGGTATGTCCAGTCTTTTTTAGTAGCCACTTAGTCACAAAAACTGGCCAAAATTGGCGTTTTTTGAATTTTTCCCACAAACAAATACTAATGCTAGCTTTGGCCAGTGTTTGTGACCAAATGGCTACTAAAAAAGACTGGACATACCCAATTTGCAATACCTTGGGTTGTCTACTATTGCAAATGGTATGCCACTGTGGGTGTAAATTTCATTCCTGGGCTACGATAAAGTCCCAAAAGCAACGTAACCAATCTGGCGAATTTCCATTTCAAATGTAACGTGCTATATTTGACCCTGTAACTTCCCAAAACGCCATAAAACCTGTACATAGGGGTACTGTTTTACACATGAGACTTTGCTGAATACAAATATGTGCAGTAAAAGCAAACCGTATTATGACATTGACAGTTAAAATGTCATGTAGAACGAAAAAAGTAAAAAAAAAAAATGTTATTTTCTCCCATTTTTTTCATATTAAATTATGTTTCATAATTTTTGATATTAAATGAAAGCCCTGTTTCCCCTGAATAAAATGATATATAATAAGGGTGGGTGCATTTACTATGAAAGAGTGAATTACGGTTGGACAGACATGTAGCGCAAACGCCAGGTTTTTTTTACATTTTGTTTCGTTCACAACGTGTACATTTGGCTCCGTCCTTAAGGGGTTAAATGTTAAGAATATTTATAGTGTACAAAACAAACAAACCAACAACAACAAAAAACAAATCTACCTCCACTACAGGCAATGTAGACTGTGAAATGTACAACATCTTTGAAGCATTGTAAAGAAGAGTTTATTGGTTTGATATTTTTGAGAACGGCTAACGCAGGTATTCACAAAAGTCAGAATTCAAAGTGAATTTAGAATTTAAGGCTAAAATCCCCCCAACTGGACGCTTGCTGTGAATCCAGTTTGGTTACTTTGCCTAACATTTGAAATCCATTCACTTTGAATTCTCACATTTGGGAATAACCCTGTAAGAGTAACTAAATAACGTAGGAATTCATGAATTGCAGATATACAAACAAAGCATATTTTAATTTTGTAAGCATCAGTTTATCGGGTATCGATTTGGTTAAATGTGACAACATTCTCTAAAATATTATTTTAATTCTAAGAAAAAAACTGTCTGTTTATATTACCAATATATAATATTCATCTGTGATGATAAATATAAAAATATATTAAAAATATATATATAATTTGAGAACGACATACTTGTATAGTTTTATTTTTGTGTTTTAGTGTCACATGGGAGAGCAGCACATTGTTTTGGTCTCTGCTGTGGCTCACCTAATAGAAATAGGTGGAGACCTATCATCAAGCCCCTAATTCAGGGATAGGAACCCTTCGGCATTCCATATGACGTGCACTACATCTCCCGTAATACTCCTACAGCCATGATGCTGGCAAAGCATCAGGGGGATGTAGTCCGAAACATCTGAAGTGCTGAAGGATGTCTATCCCTACTTAGTATCTTAGGGTCACAGGTGACCTAAAATTTTTATTCCTTTATTATGTTTTCTTAAGAAACGGACAAATGTCTTTGTCAGTGTAATGAAGCCACATGGCTCTCTCTAATTGCTCTAACAGCTTACAGCAAATATATGTACTGACAACATGGAAAATAAGTCAGTCACACATTGGACTGCATGAATGAATGATGGTAACTGAAAAGAATATTATTGCCAACTTCTAATCGATGAAAACAACAAAAATCCAAAGGAAGCATCATATGTTGCACGGGCACCTTTGATGCATGTTGGGAAATGATAATGGGTATCTTCAAAATGTTTTGGCCCATACTAGTGTTATGGGCAAATGCAAATATTACAAGTTTTAGAATGAAATGTTGTATTTCTTAAACTGTGTACTTTGTCTTTAAGAGATATTGCAAACAGACAAGGTGTTAGAAATGGAACATATTGTTTTTCATAGATGTTTCTTTAAACAATAACCTCTTACCTACCTACAGTGCATAATATGTTTGCGCCATTTTGTCCCAGACTAATTAAAAAAGCAATAATGCATAAGCAAGCTTCAAGGCTATGCTACGACTCTTTCAGTATGCAATATACTGTGGTAACCTTAGTAGATAAGGATGTTCAGATTAAGATGGCATCTTGAACTAAGTCAGGAAAATTTCCATGACATATGTACCCTTTAGATATGGCCTTGTATGTTTGCCAAATTAAGCGAGGTCCTAAAATGAATAAAGTAAAAGAAGTGTTACTTTTTCATATATGAACTACGGTAACCCTAAAATGGAGACACTTAAGGTATAAATAGGTGTACTTTTAAATGTTAAGGAACGGAGCAGAGACTTGGAGACAGACGCAGCTCCATCTTAAAATGACAGTGAGGCTGACATGATGACATGTTCAGAAGGGTAAGAAGGGTATGTTAACCTATTAATGATATTTGCAAGCATTTAGTTTAATCTTATAAACTCTGCTATAATGGATTTTATATATCTATATTTATATTTTTATATAATAAATACCAAAAAGACAAAACGTTATTGCTTCCAAGACAATCCTTATTTTATATTGTATTCTCAATTATTTATATATGTTAAATAGAGGATCTCTTACACTAATGATATAAAATTATAGCTAAGATTTCTGTATGGTTAGCCCTGCTAAGTTCTATGCTTTAAGACCTTATAGTGGTAAATAAGGGAACCAGCCGCGGTTACACTAGTATCAGATAGACACCTTAAGGATGTCGTGACACCTCATCCATCTATTACGGAACGCAGATGGAGAAATTTGAGAAACCTTTTGTTACCCAGTCATCTCCCCGCTAGTGCCACCTCAGGTCACGCTAAAAACTACTTACCAGCAGGCTCCTAGCAATGTGGTCATTGTAGTGCATGTCCCTTTATCAACAGACATTATAAGGCCTACTCCAGTAGCACCAATATGGAAATGTATAGATCACACTCTTTCTTTAGTTGTTGCACCATTGGAATAGTCTATTTACTGACATGTTCTTGTGGCCTGATGTATGTGGGTAAGACATTTTGCCTATTTAAATACAGAATCCAGGAACACATTAATTCAATATGGAGATGTCTGGAAACCCGAATTTCCAGGCATCTACATCACCATCATGACCACTCCTCAGCTCTTATTTATGAGTCTGGAACATGTACCTCAACCAACGCGTAAAGGGGTTGGTACATTACACTTTGTCAGAGAGAGGCGTTCTGGATTTATAGGTCAAAAACACTATCGCCACTTAAATAAAGGGTTTTCTTACTCCCCCTTCATATGATACAGGGACTGATTCTGTGACTATGTGGGTTTTTATTGTAAGCTAGTATGCTATACAACAATTGTTGTCTAAACCTTTTTTAACCTTTTTAGTTACTAGCACTTTTTAATTGGTGTCTTTAATCACTAATTTTGCTCTCATCTAAATATGTATAATGATGACTGACTACTTGTGACATTATAGTAGTTCATGTATTGTTCAGTGGCTCTTTATACCACTTTATGTAACATTTATTATAGATACTCAACTTACAGCTTATACTTATGATTACATGTGGGAGGTACCTTCTAATGGGTCAACCCACGTTGGCACTATTCATCCATAATGCATTCACCCATCATGTATTCGTCTTTTACCTGCCTTATAATCATTTCAAGTAATGGTATTAACCCTTCTTTACAGCTAACTAGGACATAATATAACTTTCTTTTCGTTGTGGTATAAACAAGGGTATAAAATATTATGGTAACTGCCCGCTATGTATGTTGGTTTGCAGCAATCGCATGTGGGCAGTGCTTGATGATGGGATGTCCCATCCCATTACTATTGAACAGACCCACTCTGCGCACGTCACGGATGCTGCCCACGTCCCACGTTGGGTCGGACCTATGACGCTGCATACTGACGTCTCCTGTGCAGACAGTTCGATATGGGCGAATGGATGCTGCTTTCCTGTAATGGATAATGAGAACAAATATTGCCTAACTGGCCTACAGCTATGCTAGTCACAGGTGGTGAATGCCTATTGGTGGTCTTCCCAACCCCATTGATTATACACCTCCCTGTTAGGTCTGGCTACCCTTCAAGTAAGGGGATTGGATGAGACATCGTTGTGCACCATCCCCTGACCAGCTGATTCTGTTATGGCTAATTGTTTATATGGTATTCAAACAGACTACTGGATGAGACAGACTACTTTGCCCCTGACGTCGGCATTGTATCACACCGAAACGCGCGTCAGGCTCTTTTACTGTTTTCAATTATGCACTTATTTTCACGTTAGGTAGCACTTCGCCTTTTCTTTGAGTTATCTCTGCAGGATCTATGGTTTAGGTAGGCATTCTTTCTGAGTGATATGCAGACAATTCCCTTGTGTCCCCATCTAGCCTTTGACAGTACCTGTATATTAGCAGGATATCTAACCAGAGTGGAGTTACTTTTGTGCCTCTCATCTGTCCTATAGGGCTACCCTCTACCTGGCATTCAGACACTGTCTTTCCTATTTAGGACCCTTAGTTAGATATAGTGGCTCTATGTTATAGTCTTAATAAAGGTTTTTAATTCAATTTATTTTGGTTTTGCTACTATACTTTTTTAGGTTGTACTCTTTCTCATACTGCCCCTCTGTTGGGAGTGGATGAGTGAACGATAGCTAGTGCCTGCATGTAATGCAAAATAAATGAAAGGGTGGTCATTTAACGATGAGTTTATCAAGCAGGCTTGGGGTTTTCCTCTTCAGTCTACCCACACTGGAACAGGAATGTGCAAATTACACAGTATATCAGAATCAGAAATAGTGAAACTCTCTATACCAGTGGTCTCAATTCAAATTACTTGGGGGTCACTGGCCTAGTAATCCTTTCACATGAGGGCAGCTTGTAAAAATCACAAATCACAAAATTGCAAAGAAACATACGTAACCACAGCCGGTTCCCCTATTTACCACTATAATGTCAGGGCTAACCATACAGATATCCTAGCCATAATATTATATAGTTTGTAAGAGTTTCTCTATTTAAAATATATAAATAATTGAGAATTCAATATAAAGACAGAGACAAGTCCATAATTGTATGGGGAACTGAACGTAACGACAAAAGGCTAAGTGAGGCCTTGTGAAATTGAGGTAATCGTAACGAGTAAGATTTCAGTACCTGATACTGTATGTCAGGAACAAGGTCGACAATCCATATTTTTAAATGTGGTAATTTGACGGCAAAGACATGCGGCCATCTTTGGAAGGTCTGATGTACCTTTATAGAGAATAATGGCATGGTAGACATCTTGGAGGAGGCGGATATACTCAGATGATTGCCAGAAACACTCCATATATGGCGAAGAGGACGGACCATCAATCCACAGCTGTTAATATTTGTAATGTAATTATATTTATTATGTATACTATATAAGAAGGTTGTTCCACTAGTTATGATATGCACCTGAGGGAGACCTATTGCATTAGGTCGAAACGCTTTGTGCTCTATTTTATTTTATTTTGTTTCAATAAAAGTATTTACCTTTTATCCACTTGGCAACCTGGTTCCTGATTGTTATAAGAAAGAAGACTCCAGATATCTTCCAAGGGACCTAAAAGCTCAAATCCACATCTGATTGATGTATCTGCCTCTAAAGTTTAGAGCCAACTAAGAAAGGCTCTAAATATTGTGAGTTTTTCCAAGTTTTATATGATTGTATTTGTATTGAGATGTATTACCCTATGATGTTTTTTTTGTACCCACAGAACCTAGGGATCTCATTTAATACAAGGATATCATCTACCGTGTGCACAATCACCATATTCCTTGTTGTTTTAGATGTATTTACGTGTCATGTGTTAGATTGTCAATGATACATTGTCACTGTTTTCCAACCATCGTAAGTGTTTACCACCACTACTTACTTTCCTTGCTCATACTTCTTGAATAGTTTGCCAAAATAAGTTCATTTTGTTGTTCAGCCCTTTACGACCCATGTGTAAACCTGGTAATATGTTTTCATTATTAGTTGTTTGTCTATGTTTTCTATGAACCATGTACATGGACTACTCTAAGAGACCAACATTTAACAGTCCATATTGCATTTATGGTGTATTTTGCTGCATGAATCACTGCTTCTCTGTGACAAGTCTAGTATATCCATGTGTTCCTCGTGAAAAAAAAATATATATATTTATTTTTTATTCATTTGGCTGCCAACTTTCAAGTTCCTTATTCTTGAGCTTCAAGTGAAGAACTGATTAATTCAGCCACTTTTTATTTGTTTTATTGTTGTCCATCTGTCGCTATCTCAACAAATATATAATCCCTTTGATCAGTTAATTCAAGTCTGTGTCTGGTGTAGTCTGCATGCATCGGATATCAACTATGTTGCTATAAGAGCCAAACTGCAAAAGCTCGGTATGACAAGGTGCGATGATCTATACCTTTGATGTACATTTATAATATAAATTAGTATATTAATAATTGTATTCACCACCTGTAAGCGTTCTCATTAATCCACAAATTATTTATACCTGAATCACATTTAAGGCAGATACAAACATTGCATGAAGGAATGTGATGCCTATAAAATACCTATAAAAGTAACCTTATTCTACCAAACTTGCTTCATATATAAGAAGGTTGAAGTCAAAGAGACACTTGCAGTTTACTTTCTTAAGAAGAAACATTTCCAATTCTTCATATAACTCAATCAGAGATCAACATGAAGCATCAAGGCAGCTACTCTTCTTCTGGATCCCTCATGGTAGGCCACAGCTCTAGAGGCCATTGTTCCTCTGGTAGCATCTCTTCACTTCATCATGGAAGCTCCAATACACTTCACCATAAGAGCTTCAGCTGCTCTAATACTGGTGGTTCCTATAAATCATCCAGCCACCTTGGAGGAAACTCAAAACTATCTATCAGTTCATCTGCTGGTCTTGCACATGGAGGTGGAAGTGGCCATGGTGGCCTTACAAGTCATCTCAAGAGTTCTAACAACCACGCTCATAACCTACTTCGTATTAATGAGAAAGATACAATGAGGGCTCTGAATGAGCGTCTTGCCTCCTATTTAGACAAGGTCCATTCGCTGGAGCAGGAGAATGCTGAGCTGGAAAGGAAGATATGTGAATGGTATGCAAACAATGCCCCAAGCTCACTCCCTGACTCCAGTGAGTACTATAGGACAATTCAGGAGCTACAGAACCAGGTAAAACAAGAGATGTATGAGTTTATCTCCAATGTGGTCAGTTGTAGGATGATCTTACCTACAATGCATGTTTTAACGAGTTAAAGTAAACTTATCATTCAATAAAATATCCAGACCAAAGTGTCTGCAAACCCTGAAAATACGACTGTAGACATGACTGTGTAATAGAGATATAGAAATGTTAAATATTCTACAATATTTTATACACATTACATGAGAAAATATATTATATACACTGCATACATTTCATTCTGACTTGAACTAAACCAATATATATGCCATTAAAGATTTATTCTAATGTGGTTATTTGTTGGGTGATCCTACTTACAATGTATGTTTTAATGACTTACCTTCTTAATAAACGTACCATTCTGTAAAATAATTCTAGTCTTAAAAGCTCATGTAGAATTTACTGTATAATTGAGATACAGAGATGTTCAAAACTGTTTTATATAACTTATATAATAAAAAATGTTATACACACTATATGAATAGTATGATGTTGTTACATTCAAGAATGCAGCATTTCAAATTCTGAACACAGAGCCTTAAAAATCTCATGTGGTTCAGCTTTTCTCACATAGAAAATATAATATCAGTGTGTATAATCAACAGAACATTTTCTCATAACTTTGGTTATAGTCAAATATAGTTCACGGAGACCAAAATATTTAAGCAAAATAAGTAATATAAATTATTTTTAGAGATTAATTGAGAATGACTTTGCTTACCAGATTTCTTCGGCGACAATTAACAGTGGAAGGATAGTCCTACAGATAGACAGCGCTCAACAAGCTTCAGATGACTTCAGAAGCAGGTAAGTCTATGAAGTTATGAGAGTTAAAGAGACAAGTGAAGACTTTGCTTTATACAGCTGTAGCAGCATATATATTGTAAAGGTGACTTTGTGTGGCAAAATATAAATATAAACATATATTCATCAAGTATGGTGTTTAGTATTAAATGAATAATTAAAAAACACAATATTAAAATAAATCTAAAAAGCTCTAATTTCTCACAAACAAACCTATTTTTATATTGTTACAGCAAAACATTCAGCATAGAATTGTACATAAATTCAGTTTAATGAAAATTCTCTCGAGTCAATGATGAGGTCTACCAGCACTGAAGTAACTGCTTTAGTAATGTTCTTACTAAGTTTTCGGTTGAGGAAAGTTAGTGCAGTAGCTGTAAACTTTCTTTCGTGTTCTATTAAGGTGTCTATTGTGTTTGATTGTAAGCATTAGTTTTGTCTAGTATGGTTTTAACTGTTAGAAGCCATAACTTCTTTGGTGGATTTTCTTTTGTTGTCTGTGTCTTTGTTTTTCTTAAATGTCCACTTTTTAAAATAGATTGAGTTACGACCATAGGTTAGAAGATAGTGTTGACCTTTATGGTAGACTATTGGCTAATTTAGGATTATCAAGGCATTATAATTTATCCATAACTATTTCTCTATATTGTTGCATGCCATGTAATCACAGTACAATATATTGTAAATACCTTTACACAATCCTTTACTAACTGCACATGGCATTGCCGTAGTTATCATCAAGCTGCGTTTTTGTCATGTTACTCCATACAGAAAAAAAGACTTTCAACCAGCGTTAAATTGAAAAGTGATAAAGAGTTGATTTCCATGCCTATTCTCAGAATTGATTATATAATATAGTGTGCTCTTTTATTATTATTATTATCAATTTAGGTGTGAGATGGAGATAAACACAAGGAACAATGTGGATGGAGATACTGGTTCTTTGAGAAGAGTCTTACAACAAATTAACAATGAAGTGCAAACCTTATCCGGAGAAGTCCAATGTCTCCAGCAAGAACTTTTCCAGATGAGGAACAACCATTCAGGGGTAAAGTGGAAAGATGTCGATGGCCTATTATTATAATTTATTAAAACACTACTGAGAACAAAGATGTATTTGGAATAATTACAGGACTTCAAATGTCAAGTCGTAAGCTCCTAGCCAGGCCTCAAATGTTTTTTGCCACTGCAGCCTAGAGAATCCTTGGCACTTTTACCTGTGGTTACTTTGTACGATGCAGGGCTAAATTATTACTACAAATGTCCGGTTAATTTTTTTCCATTAATTAATAAAAGTGAACAGTTTTGGGGATCTCTTTCTTACATACATCGTGAGTGTTTGTTTACACATTCAAACCTAAGGGTTATTTATTTCTTTATAAATTACTTTTTTTCTTTCATGTCTTACCCTAGTCCTTTGTCTTTTTCAAAGGAATTGGATGGTCTGCGTGCTCAGCTTGGAACCAGAGTCAACGTAGAAATGAATGCTGCGCCATCCATCGACCTGAACAGAGCTCTATCTGACCTCAGAGAAGAATATGAAAATATGATGGAGAGGAACCTCAGGGAAGTCGAGGGCATGTTCTTGGCAAGGGTAATTCTAACCATAATATCATGAAGCAACTAGCTGACAGTAAACTATAACACTAAAACTATAGGCCCATACCAGATTGGTAAGAACAGTATTATATTTTTACGTGAATTTTTTTTTTTCTTGCAGAGTGCAGAACTGGACCGTGAGATGTCTTTAGGAGCCGTACAATTGCAGTCAGTTAATAATGATATCATTGATTCAAAGCGCTCTTTACAAACCCTGGAGATCGAGCTGCAGAGCCACCTAAGTATGGTATGTCAGCATGAATTAAAATATGTAAACATATATAAAGCAACACCATGACTATATTCCGCATTTGCTGTCTTAATTGGTTCTAATAATGCTTTATTGACTACAAAGTCACTTGTGTAAGTCTTTAGTTTAAGAAAGTTTACGCTTGGCAATTTTTTATGTCACCAAGTTGTGACAGTAATAGTAACTGCACTTGTGTCTTTTAGATGATGTGCATTTTATATAAGTAATAATTGTGGAGATAAAATAAAATCCTTTTATAATATGATATTTAACAAGTCCTGCTATTTTTGGAGGTTGACTACATAAAGTTTGGTTTAATTGTGTTTTCGATGATGACCTTCTAGTTTATGCTGAATGCTTTCCCAAGAAATGTTTCCATTGCTGTATAGGAAATTATATCTCATTCATATATAAAAGATTAAAGGCATGTTGAATGTTAACTCTCAATTTTAAGAGTTACTTAATGCGTTTGCACTGAATCTCCCAATATTTCTGGGTGAGCATTTTATTAGACAACACACAAATGTATCAATGTGTAGTGGTGGTACTCGTCAACCTTTACTTTCAACATTTGTAATCTATTGTGAGTACACTACAATATATCCAACCATTGACACACAACACAAAGAAGCAAAGCCAGCTATTTTAACTAATATCATCATGATGGAATATGGGAATGTTTCGAACTTTTAAATATATTAAACAATAGTACAATAATATGATGTAAAAAATAAATCCCTGAATAAAGGATCATATACTTATTTAGTTCAGTAATATTGCTGTGTCATCATTGGCAGAAATCAGCTCTAGAGGGCACCTTATCAGAGACGGAGGCAACGTTTGGTTCTCAGCTCTCCCAGTTACAATGCATGATTGATAACATTGAAGGTCAGCTGACACAGATCCGATCTGACCTAGAACAACAGAATCATGAATACCAAGTTCTCATGGACCAGAAGACCCATCTAGAGATGGAAATCAACACCTATAGACATCTGCTGGATGGACATGACATTCAGTGTGTATTACAATTTTTTGTCAAATTTAGTTGTTAAGTATTCATATCAAAAAAGGAGAAGAAAAACAAAATAATGCTGGTTTAAGTGTAGTCATCATGATGGAAAAGTTGACAAAACCTGGCTATTGATATATCTTCATATTCATGTATAACACCAATATATAGGGCGCTTACCTACATTAATGAGTATACAGTCACAAGTGAGCATAATAAACAATAGAATATTTTAAATGACCTTATAGAACATAACGTAAAATATAATATTTGTAACTGAGGTGGGCAGTTAAATGTTTATATTAATTGCATAGATGAGATAGGTGACCGAGGGAGACAACTAAGGAGGAGATAATTATTGGTCGTAAATAAATTACAAAATGGGGTTTCACAGAAGCTATATGTGCATAGATGGGTTTTGGGGAACATAAAATTATAAATGAGGTGGCTGATTAGATAGTTTGTTTTAGTATTAGGGTTTAGAAGGAAGAATATGTGCAACTAGGAAGAATCCAGGAAGTTGGTGGTAAGGATGTAAATAAAGCAGAGATGAGCGTAGTTTACATAGTAGATTAATAAGAAGACGAAGGGAAGTGCAACATGCTAATCAGAAGTGGCCAAAACACATCCCCACCTGTTACATAACCACAGCTCACATGTTGCTTTACTAATTGTAAGGTTGACAGAGCATCATTGGGATTATATGTCCGCAATAGCTGGGCATCCATTTTTTTTTTACTAGTTAAAGCATTATTAATTAGTATATTAGTAATCCTGAACGCATATTACGAAGTATGAAGTTTTAAGTACAATACAATATGTGCTGCTCTATATTACAGTTAATTTCACCTAAGGTAATTGTGTATTTTTGATAACAAATATAATACACACCTCTCTCATATCAGTTCTTCTAAACATCTCTAAATCTTTTCACAGTATTGCCGATCATACCAGTTCTGGAGGTGAGTAATATACATCACAATAAAAAAATTAAATTTGCAATGAAAATGCTTAGCTATGTATTGCAATGATATTTTATATTTCTAAACCTTGCTTATTGATCCAACTGTTATACAGTATAAAGGGAATTAACACAGTAAAGGAGGAGACTATATTTAAAAGAAGAAAAACTACCACAACAAGAGGTAATCTTAAATTAGAGGGACAAAGGTTTAAAAATAATATCAGGAAGTATTACTTTACTGAGAGGGTAGTGGGTGCACGGAATAGCCTTCCAGCTGAAGTGGTAGTGGTTAACACAGTGAAGTAGTTTAAGCATGCGTGGGATAGGCATAAGGCTATCCTAGTTATAAGATAAGGACAGTGACTAATGAAAGTATTTAGAAAATTGGGCAGACTAGATGGGCCGAATGGTTCTTATCTGCCGTCACATTCTATGTTTCTATGTTTCTACTACTTTCTTAAGATTTAATCAACCCAAAAATAAAAGATGTAATAAAGTCTGTGTGCCCATCTAATTTTTCCACGTCTGCTCTGTTCTAGCATCCCATCACAACAAGTGCAAGTAATGGCCGTGTGCTTCTCAATAAGCTCTTGATGCCTCTCTAGAAAAAGAATAACATGAATTGAATCATTATGAAATCAACTTCTCTGGAATTAGCAATCTGCCTTTATTGTCTTTCTTTAATTCCCTTTCCATTCCTAAACTGATACTGATTAAATGCAAGTGAAAATCCAACACAAAATATATTAGCTATGTGTACAAGTAAAACTGATATTGTTCTGAATTATTGGACACTGTTTGTGTCCTATTGTTCCTGAAAAAAATAGAACTCATCAACAGCTTGTATATCAATACAATATTTACAATGACTTTATGCAGCTTTATCGAAGGATGGTGTTTAATGGTTTGCCTAGCAAATATTATATGAAAGAACATTTGAATTTCCAAGTACTGAAAGCATTTTATAACTGTTTCACGAAATTATAATTCTAAGACAATGTTGATCTGCTGCATATTTTTTTGTAAACTAGTATTTTACTAATATTGTAAAGCGCTGCGGATTACGTGGGCGCTATATAAATGCCGAAAAATAATAATGAAATAATAATAATATATTTATCGTTTGGATTTAAGTTTTGTGGGAACTTTTGGACTGTATTATAATTACAACTTTATTGTAACTGAATCTACAATTCTTATAAAATAAATCATTTTTCTTTGTCTTCTGCAAACCCGGTGGTGTATTTGTATTTTGTATTATGAAATGTAAGAGTTCCTCTTAAGGGGGGATTACCGTGTGGGAAATAAAGTGTTGGATTCTCAGCTTTTCAAATATTTTAGAATTGAATTGCCTGAATTTAGCTAGTAATATTTGTTTTCACTACTGTTTGGAGTTGAATGAATAAACCCCTAAAACCCACACACATTATTGCACTGCTGGAACAATAAAACACAAACTATAGTCAGTTTCTGAAAATATATTTACTGTGCTAATAATTACAATTAAGACAGATCAACTTTAAATGTTAAGAATACTTATAGTGTACAAAACAAACAAATAAACAACAACAACAAAAAACAAATCTACCTCCACTACAGGCAATGTAGACTGTGAAATGTACAACATCTTGGAAACATTGTAAAAAAGAGATTATTGGTTTGATATTTTTGAGAACGGCTAACGTAGGTATTCACAAAAGTCAGAATTCAAAGTGAATTTAGAATTTAAGGCTAAAATCCCCCCAACTGGACGCTTGCTGTGAATCCAGTTTGGTTACTTTGGCCTAACATTTGAAATCCATTCACTTTGAATTCTCACATTTGGGAATAACCCTGTAAGAGTAACTAAATAACGTAGGTATTCATGAATTGCAGATATACAAACAAAGCATATTTTAATTTTGTAAACATCAGTTTATCGGGTATCGATTTGGTTAAATGTGACAACATTCTCTAAAATATCATTTTAATTCTAAGAAAAAAAAAGTCTGTTTATATTACCAATATATAATATTCATCTGTGATGATAAATATAAAAATATATTAAAAAAAAAATATATAATTTGAGAACGACATACTTGGCTTGTATAGTTATATTTATGTGTTTTAGTGTCGCATGGGAGAGCAGCACATTGTTTTGGTCTCTGCTGTGGCTCACCTAATAGAAATAGGTGGAGACCTATCATCAAGCCCCTACTTCAGGTATAGGAACCCTTCGACATTCCATATGACGTGCACTACATCTCCCGTAATACTCCTGTAACGGACCGTTTTGCACAAAAGGGGAAAAAACCGCTTAGACGATAATCCCCCTTTCAGAGTCAGGCACAGCTACTGTATAATCACCAAAACTCACGAACCGCCAATAAGTGAATGCTCCAAACTCCCGAACGGCATACAAGGGAATAAGGTAGCACTTCAAATAAACGAACAGGAACCATACGAATAGCTGCTAGCAGATGAACAGGAAAAGCAGACAATCCGCTTACACTCCTGGCAATCAGTCTCTAACAGCATACAGTGAATCCCCCCAAGAACGAGACAAGGCTCTGTGTTGAGGGTCAAGCAGTGGTCTGAGGTGCTGGTACACCCAGCCTGGTTTTTATTACAGTCTTGCAAATACAGGACCGCCCACAGGGAGGTATAAAACAACCAATCACATCACAGTTATATCCCACATATTCCCTCCCCTTATCCTGAGAGGAAACTCAATTACACATACAGTTAAAACATACTTTCTACCCAACTTTCATAACTCTAAAACCATACATCACATTCACATAAAATTACACATTCACAATCAATCCATTCAGGGGAACAACATATTAAAAAATGGCCTGAATCAGACCAGGGGTTCAAAAGTTAGTAAAAAGTCCTTTGTGACTAAATGAAGCATGGCTTTCCGGCCCAAACCAGTTTCAGAGTCCTCTATCCTGGAGATAAGTAATTCAATTATCTCCCAGGACAGACACAAGACTCCATTAAGCACATGGTTGCAAAAAGACACAAAACACTTTAAAATACATAAAGTCACATTTATTACATAAAACACAGACATGTAACATATCCCCAGATAGCTCAGGTCAGAGCTAAGAATATTTCAAATAAATGTGCCTCCTCTCTCTCTCTAGACCACACACGAATACAGTTGAATCGCCATGGAGCCAAAGTCTTTTTTACAGCTGTTTCATACTAATGGATCCATGGACTCCTATCTGGGGGGTATATAAATACATTCAAACAAATCTACCTGAACTCCCAGGCAGAAAAGCAGTCAAATGCTTCTTCTGCAGGTAAAAGATTCTTACCAGGGGGCCATAGTCCAGCAAGGCTTAAAAGCAACCAGGCTTCTCCAATGCAATGTGGCGAGATTGGTCTCGTCACATCTCTCCCCTTTTCCAAACAGACTAACAGGGTATCTGACCTCCTGCCGGTCAGTGCCCTTGTTAGTCCAGCAGCCCACCCACAACAAATAATCACCAGCACAGCCCACCCACAATAAATGGTTACTACACCTGGGTAAAGGAGAAGCTTGTCCATGTCCAGGTGCCTCACCACGGCTGGGCTGGGTACGGGTACGCTGACTTGGTGGGTTGCTGCGTGGGCAGAGACCAGCGGCACTCTGCCCTGTTGCCAGTGCTACTGGGAGGGTAGCCTGGTGGAAGCCTGGTTGTTGGAGGGGGAGACCGACTGTCTCCCTTTAAATACACCGCTCTGCTGCTGCTGCTGGAGACTGACTGTCTCCCCTTTAGATGCACAGTCCTGCTGCTGGAGACCGACCGTCTCCCCTTTAGATGCACAGTCCTGCTGCTGGAGACCGACCGTCTCCCCTTTGGTTACCCATCTCTGCTGCTGGAGGGGGAGACCGACTGTCTCCCCTTTGGCTAAACAGCCCTGTCGCTGGGGGGCAGGACCGACCGTCCCTACCCCCTGTGCTGGCAGTGTAGAGACCACGGTCCCATCTGCGCAGTTGTGGGGCTTACTGTCTCCCCCTGGTACATTAAGCTGCCGCTGGGGAGAGGGGATAACAGGCTCCTCTCCCATACATACTTCCAGCTGCGGGGGAGGGAGACCGACTGTCTCTGCTCCCAATACAGAGTCCTGCTGCTGGGAAAAGGAGACTGGGCTCTCTATTCCCGGTAGGACACTCTGCCGCTGGGGAATGGAGACGGGGCTCCCAATTCCCAATAATCTGCGCTGCCGCTGGGGAATGGAGACTGGGCTCCCAATTCCCAAAAAATCATACTGCCGCTGGGGAATGGAGACTGGGCTCCCA